TGACAATTAGTATTTCATACCAATCACTTCCAAGGCATAATGTCAAATCACATGCCGTTAAGAAGCCTCCTTATATCGATCTGACGTGTAATAAATCTATACTATTGTTTCCTTTCCGAGCGAACTGATTTTCAGAACCTGCAGAAAATGTCTGACGTCCGTGCAACTGAATACAAACTAAGCAAGCAGAATCTTTATGATGGCGGCAAAAATTAATCCTTGCAGTTCAATTTTTATTCCAGTTTACTCACTGAAAATATTCTATTCGAGAATGTTCTACAATGTTCCACTATCTTCGGGACTCATTTCCATCATAATTAATTAGTATTCGATTCCAAAATTATTTGTTAGTGTGTTGAATTCGACAATTTTCGTTAAGCCCTACCCCCCACAGCGGATGGGTTTGTAGTTGTACTCAATAGGAATCGTTTGACAACACAAATAGCATTGATATATTATCTAACTTGTTGCTATTTGTAATATACATTTAGTTGTACAAAACATGCTAAAAGTGTAACCACCGTACCGTCTGTTACTTGTTTTTGCGGCAAAACAAAGTAAGATAGTATATATATTAGCTATATCACATTTTCATTCAGTATCTAATCCAAAAATTGATTATCTGAGAGGTGGACAACTTACCACATAGATACCAGAGAAACTGGTCTGAATAAAAAGTCAAGCTTGCAGAATCTTTGTCATTAAAAAATGTTCTCCGCTCGACTGAATTTTAAATATATATAACAATAGACATGTTTTTCTTTACCTTCTGATACCGCAAGCTTTGCTATTCACTTGTGATTGTTAAAATAAATCTGTCATCTGCTATTTAACACGCCACATTTATATATATATATGTATGATTCTCACTCGCGGTTCAATATGGCAAAATAGACGCAAACTAGATTGCTGCAAGCAGGCATTTGATCTAGAATTAAAACATAATCGTAGTGATCTGAGAATAATTTATTTTGCACATTGACAAATTCTGTTATAGTTGACCAATCTCGAGTAAAGATAAATAAACTGTTTAATGGCATGAAATCAACACGTTATAGTTGGCAATCAAAAGCCTTAGTCATTGTAAATAATAATTTTTCCGATTAACTATTACTAGGGTGTAGTGTCATTTAGTGATGGTCTTCAACAAACTTGTCGAAATCGTCCACAGGAACGCATTTTGACAGGAGTAAGGGAACTGAGCTCCAACGTCCTCCCATCTCGATCAACCTATTTACTACGCGTAATATATCTTCCGCGGTGGGTTTTGGGTTACGAGCGTAAACCCAAATTCCCCTGTTTCCTCCTTCGAGTTTTCTATCCACGCACCTTGTTAATATGACGTAATTTTCGTAATCTGTAGCGATGTAATAAGTGCCCTGGTCTACGATTTTTGCAATTTTATTGTTCAACTTTGCAGCATGGGGCGAGAGGTCTTCCACGTCTTTGTTTAAATTAGCTTCCCAATAGCTGTCAATATCATTTCCTCCAATCTTGTAATGCTTTCCACGCTGTAAGACGAAGTTCGTTGGAATTGTATTATAGGTTTGGGTGTTTAAGTGATAGTCTATCATAAATCCTGTACCACCTGCAGCAGACGATTTGAAATTACGTAGTCCATAACACTTGGCAATATGATCAACTGTCAAATTAGCATTTAGTATTTCATACCAATCACTGCCAAGACTATTCCAATCAAGTTCAATTCCGGGCTCGGCTAATTTACAACAATGAACACATTCTATGTAGAGAATGAAAGCAATTGCAAATATCCACAATTTCATTTTGTCAACCTAAGAGCTCATTGCTTCTCAAAAAACATGAGTGTGAGCATAATGTCAAATCACATGCCGTTAAGAAGCCTCCTTATATCGATCAGACGTGTAATCAATCTATACTATTGTTTACTCTCTAAGCGAACTGATTTTCAGAACCTGCAGAAAATGGCTGACGTACGGCCAACCGAATACAAACTAAGCATGCAGAATCTTCATGGTTCATGCTAAGGACAAAAATTAATCCGCGCAGTTCACTTTGTATTCTAGTTAACTCAATAAACATGTTCTACTTGGAAAAGTTCTAAAATGTTCTACTATCTTTGGGACTATTTCATCATAACTAATAAGTATTCGATCCTAAATTAATTTTGTAATGTATTTTGAATTTGTGCATTTTCATTGAGCCATAGTCCCCGCAACGGATTGGGCTGTACACAATGGGAATTGTTGGACAACGCAAATAGTATTGAAATATAATATAACTCTGCTATTTGTAATAAACATTTAGATGTACAAAACATGCTGAAATTGTAGACATCGTACCGCCTGGTATCTGTTTTTGCGGCCAAACAAATGAAAAAAATACGTCAGCTATAGTTTTCTTGAATTTGTCCTTCACATGGTCGTTCCAAATCCTTCTCCGTTTTTCGCAGAACTACGCCATATTTTATTATCACGAACTATCGGTAAATATTTATCCACCAAATATAATTAAAAAACAAAAAACAGTTACGATGGCCTTTACATTATCTTAATTAAAATTATAGTAATATTAGATGAGACACACACTCATGTTCACACGTAATGCATTTTCAATTCAATTTGATCATTTACTACTCTTTTGAAACCGAAAATTTTGTCACAAGCTAGTAAATTATATTGTTAATCAAGTATTATTATATTTGGTAGCTATACGGTTTCCCAGCTCGTGGCCTGGCAACCCATTTTGGCGATATTTTAAGAAATAGGTATGTACCATATTCGTGTCGGAATAGTTAGGATTGTTTGTGACCAAGTCTGAGATCGAAATCAGCAAATATGTGTTTTTTCAAAACGTGAATCTAGATTGATCGAAAATGTTGTAAAATAAATCACAGATAAAAAATATGCGAATATGTAATATCAGCGTTTCTACTTATATTAACTCTGCTTCAAGGTTTCAAATGATTCATCTTTCTGCTGCGGACATTTATTTATCCGTTCAGGTCGGATCCGTTCGATTGTCTCCAAAAATTCATTTTATATTTCTAAGTAACGTTATAGAGCATCGTTAATTAAATGATGTGACCACAATTAAAGTTAATTTATATCTGACCCTTAAAGACGAATTCAATTCATTGACACTTCATAAAAATGAATATGAAAAAAAAAAATGAATTCAGCATTATTTTTGATACTGTTTAGTTCTGACCTCGCCACCGAATTGTGGCAACGCTAATTTGCATATTTCCCTGTTTAATGTGACTTTCCTCTTTAAACGAGTTCGCCATATTGTGTATGACGTAACCGGAATGCACATTAATAATACCGACGATTTAATTAATTCATAGCGTTTGCTTCAACCAAAAGCAGAGCAATTGAAAAGTTGAAAGAATTATATATATATTTGCCCGAAGTATGAATAGTGTGCGATTAATATGAATTTGATTGACGAATTCCCAAATTTTATGTGAAGCGGTTGACGCATATTTCCCAAAATTATGTTGTGTTTCCCACCTTTTAGTTCTTAAAAAGTCTAGACAGGTATCTACATAGTGAGTTTCTAAATTTGGAAGAACTATTCCATTGCTTGAATGAGGTGATGTGATTAAGTTGTATATCTGTAACCTGGAATGTTACTTTGCTGTGCTACAGGATATTCGAAATTCACTGTGTTTTAGTTTTGCATGTTTTATGTTTATCGGTAGATAACTTTCAAATTTGTCCCAATATATCCGAACAAACTAACTAATTCTTTTTCGAACCATCCATGTCATGCTTACTTTTTCTTATTATTATGCTTTGGGTCGACCAAACCATAATGATGCTGACGAATCAAATCTTAGTACACGTTTTCGCGTCACGAATTCAACATTGTTTATTATTTATCATAAATCCCAGTTCGACTCAGCAATATTTATCAATTGCATCAAGTATGGCCTCATTAAAAATAAAAAATTAGATCATTTCACGAACTTTGAAAAGGTGAGAACATTATATATTGAGATTAAATATGAGCTTTTCCGTAGATTGACCGTGCTAACCAAGAATGTATATGCAAATTAAATTGTTCATCAAGGGAGTCGTGATTCATCAAGTATACTTATTAATGTTTATTTCGCGATCTTACTTTTTCTTTAAATAGCTTAATCATTAGAAAAATCTTCAAAAATTTGGTTTCAGATTCAATTGAGCTTGTAGGTGAGATAACGTCTGCCCGGACATTCACAATTTTATGCCTATCCAAAAAAGTTTGAAGGTAGAGTAAAATCTTGAATATTGTTCAAGCTTTTCAACGTTTATCGTTAGAAGAATAAATATGTGTAAACATATGAAGGCGCGAATAACTTCGTAATAACGATAATCAACGTAATAAAATAAATTGGAAACTCATCCAAATATACATTGCTAGATAATTCGTCAAAACTGGAAAAATGAATTAGTTTGTATTTATGTATTTTTTCCATTTTTTAAATCATCTACTCTAAAATATACCTAGCTTATTCAATACGAGTTAATACAGTATATCTCAACTAAACGACATGACTAAATTTGTGAAACTTTATAAAAAAAAATCAGTTAAATTTTTAATTTTTTATGTACTGTTTCGTACAATCTTATTGCTCGTAACACGCATACCGGGGTTTAATATTTGGAATATGAAGAGTGAAAAAGCGCAATTTTATCAACGATTCCGCTGAAAAACGCGATTCTGAGATATGATAGCATTCTGATTCACGCGGGTGCGACCAGATTTTGGGTGGAACCAACACAAGGTATGCGAAATTTGAGTAATTCGTCGGCTGGAATTGACGAATTATAAGTGTATTGTGGCTTTAACACCTTGATGTTTATCACATATGGGCGTATCTCGAGTAGGCGGATCAACTTTGAAGAGAACATAGCAACAAACTTCAGCATTTAGACTGAAATATTTGTCAATAAGTACTCGTCAAAATGAACCGAGGCACGCGTTATCTAATCAGGATTTACAACAAGTGACGTAATGTAATTATCACAACCAAGCGTCAGAAACCGCTTTATAAACTTAGTTGGAAGAGGCAGCCAGCACATTAGTTTGAGAAATTACTTCGTCTATTTATAGAAATAAAACAGCACAAAGTAAAGACGTAATAATCATTCAAGTTATAAGATTCGCATCTACTGGTTGCATTATTATATAGATGCAGGAAACGTTACGATGAAGTTATATTTTGTATTATATGCTTTTTTTATTTATCAATTCAAGACTACGTCGGCGAAAGATGCCTTCAAATGCCGGTGAGATTTTGTATGATTACTTTTTGGTAATGAAATTAAGTTAATAAAAATGGAAAGTTGTGAAATGTGCATTATTGAATGTTATGTAAATGTTGTCATAAATAAATATGCTTCGTCAGTTTAGATCGGCGAAAATTGCCACGAACCCATTTTACGATAAATACACACCAAAAAAGAGTGGTTGGTTACCTTGCAGAAGCCAAATATTTGTAGCTTTGAAAAATTCAATATCGGGATAGCATACTAGAAAGGTTACATTGAAAAACTTAAAGATTGTGAGCTAGACTAATGCTCAAATCCGAACTGGAAAGTTGAATTCTGACAAGCAGGCTTTTGAATGAGAGAAGATATTGTATTTAACGGGTTGAATCTCACCACTAGTGATATCACATCTGTGCTTCAGTATACATTTTAAAATAGTGGTAATCGGCGATTGGGCTTAAATTTCAAAATTTTCTCTCATTGTACATTTCAATGAAACAAAATATATTCGTTTATTCTTCAAATTGATACGAGATAAACTATACGAGCCTTTGTTGTTATTATAGAGCAGAACACTCTTCTGAAGCAAACATCAAGTTTTCCGTTTCTTTACTTCAAAATGTGTTACAAAGAGAAAAAGGAGGGTCGAATGTGATGATTTCTCCTTTGGCCGTTGGATCGGGATTATCAACGTTATTGGTGGGGTCAAAAGGAATAACAAGACGACAAATAATCCGAGGCTTGAAGCTGGATCAAAGGTATGTTTCTCTCGGGAAGTTTTTGTGGGTAAAGTTTTTTCCCATTTGGCAAAATTTCTTCTGCCTCTACGCATGAGAATATTGGTAAATAGCTAAATCCATCAACAGATCGGAAATGTTTTATGTTTTTTTTGTTAATTAAAGGTATAAATTTGAATAAGTTGAAATCTAATTGAAAGTTTATCAGACATGATACACGAAAACATAACAATGTAACTGTTTTAAATAGGACATTTTGTTCTGCGAGTTTGTACCATTTACGTAAACAAGGACAGAAACAGTCACAGGATATAACCTTGGACTATGCTATAAATCAAAATATAAGATCAGATGACGAATGTTTGCGAATGAATATTTATTGGTCAAATACGGTTGTTGATACACTTTTAAACTTATATTACCTATTATTTATCTTATATAGTTGAATATATATTGTAAAACCATTATTTGTAGCCCGGAATATTCGATGGCGAGGACACCATGCTTCCTTCAAGTTTACAACAACAAAGCATTCCAGCCTTCGAAAAAATCTGTTCGATTGAAAAAAGCTAACTTTGAACCCACAATCTTAACAAAAGCAACAAAACTGTATGCTGACAAGCGTTTAAAATACAGGAAAGCATTTATTCGCAAATCTGCGTTTTATGGTGCCGGTTTGGAACGGGTACGTATTTACTTGTATGGTTGAATGTAACCCATGGGCTGAATGGTCTTTTATGTTGCATTTTTGTTTCGGTACTGATACCCTATGAATGTAAAAAAAATGTACAGTGATAAATTGGTAGTCGAACACAATTCCTTTAGACGTCCGACTACCTATTTGATCGAGTACCAAAACTTTGGTGATTATTTTTATACGTTCCTACGCCTTCCAAAATATTAACAAAACGTGTACCTAAACGAAATTAATTATATAAATGTCAATTTTGTATAAGCTACTGTATGTTCGACCAAATTCCTGTGGGTTATATGGGATTCGTTGATTGTGTGCCATGACGTTACCTTGTGGCGGTTCTGCTCTCGCGTAAGTCGTTGCCGTTGCGGTAGTTTACTGTGATAGATTGCATGCCCGTACAACTTCGTTTTAGCTTTTGTGTCCATGTATTTGAGCATCGTTCTCATATTGAATGTTCAAAAGGCAGCCAAGATGCGCGGTTCGGGTGACGTTATCTCACTCGACGGAGCGCTTGGGTGTTCGAGCTCGGAATTTCCGTTTGGGAACGGCATTATTTTCGACTAGATAATTTTGGATCTTCTGTACAAATCCCCCGCAATAAAAAAAAACACCACCGCCAACGCTCAAAATAAACAAATTAGTAATTATACAATTATGCTGGAAATCCAAATCTCATATATTTGCATTATAGTGGCGGGGGCTTTGTCCAAAAGATCCGAGTTCGAATACCGAGTCGTTCGACTACCGACGTATCACTGTACTTAGCAATACATAAATTTGACGTTCAGTTCTTAGACCAGCCCAATAATGCTTGACCTAGGTTTTCAAGTTGACATTAACAACATTGACATGAATACCTTTGATTGCTTCTATTTTCGAGTGATTTTCCCACGCGAAATCTGGGTCGTTACGGATATTTCCATTTAAAAATTTATTTTTATTTTTCATCTATTCCAAGTCACTGTAATACACGACAATGCATCATACCGATGACCAAAATTGCAACACGCCCCGCCAGGTCGTCTACCGCATTGCGTGCCAAAAACTTAATTAGATTTTTGTTACTATTCAGTCTTCAGTATATACTTGTAACGATGCTATAAAAAGATCGACGCTCTTAAAGATCCAAAATACCGAATAAAATTAACACTTTGCGGGAAACCGCCACAACTGTCGCTGATAATTAGGCGGAATAGAAAACGAATGAACAAAGATGTTCTATAGTTAATGGAATTACACAAGTTCATGCCGAGATAAGCCAGTTGATTTCCATTGTAAATTACGATCCGCTAACCTATAACTTGTCAAGCACCGATTAACGCCGAATAATTTCCAACGACGCGACGCAATTGACCAAAATAAAATTGATATACATTTGAGAAACTTGATATACTTCCAAACAATATGTACGGAAGTAAAAATCAAAAGTGGATGCATTTGGATGATAATTTTTGGAATGGCATACACTATAACACTATTTTCTTCATACCATGTTTTCATTGACTAATTGGCCTCGAAATAAGATAACAAACTCAAACTTACTAAAAAATAATTACTCATTTAAATTAAGTAGGGAGTAACCAAAGCAGTGTCGTAAACAGCAAGTCTAATAAAAACGGTTTCTGTATTCTTACCAGAAAGTTTCACTTCCACGATAATACTCTTTGTTGTTTATTTTTACGGATTTACATCTCCGGTGTTAGTTTAAATCATGTACAGTTAAGCTCCTTCTAGTTTTTCTCACAATTGTTATAATTATAACTATAAACTCAACCAATGGTTCAATATAACTTTAATCGTTTCGTAAAACAATTTATGTAAATAAAATAATAAACATTAAATGATTGATGAATTAATTGTTCAGATTGATTCACATTCTATTTGTTATTTTATTTTTATAATTTGGTAAAAGTGTATTTTTTAAACATCATTTTAGATTGATTTCCGATCATCACCGTACAAAGCACGGAAGAAAATAAACAGCTGGGTTTCGGAACAAACCTCAACGAAGATCAAAGACTTCATGCAACCTGGAATGATCTCAAAAAACACAAATTTGGCTCTAGTTACAACTGTCTATTTCAAGGTAAATTACTACCGCGACAATCTAATCGATTAGTGACAATTTAATTACACGTTATAGAAAAAAACCAAAATCTTCGAGAGTTTCAATCAAACGAGTAATTTTTCACGTGCTCTAACGAAAGTTAAGACTTTGTGAAACTGTAGTAGTAATTGCACCTGTTTACTTATTTTCTACAAAATAGTTAGGTAATATTTTTTGCAAAATGACGGCTATCATGCATTTTATCATGCCATTTTTCGTTTTGTTCGTTCGCACGACTCCGACAGCACTCTATAAAAAGATATTAATCAAGAAATACAGCGGCAAATTTTGAAAAAATTATTATATCCAAAATGATTAAGTTTGCTTTCGAAAAGTAGGCGTTTGCTCTCTTTTCAGAACTTAAATCAAAGTCACAATGTGATATATTATTGCCATTTCTTAAAAATCCTTGGATACAAACTCCTCATATTCATAGAATTGTTTAGACACTACGAGTTACTATAAGATTAATAACCGGATATGGACTGATTGATGATCCTACGATGGTCTAAGCCTTACCAAATAAAATGGTTTCATCAATCATTGGAATAGCCCATGACGGATCACTAAATTGATGGCGATCAGTGCCGTTACACAAATTGCATATATATATAACGAAAATGCGATCGAGTTATCGTAACATCAATATCAACAGTTCATTGTATGTAAATAGCTAAAATTTAAATCACATCATGGAAATATGACGAATTACTGAAAGCTACCTTTAAAAAGCATCTTGCATTATAAATTAAAAAATAATATGATGTCAATCTGATTGAACGCGGCTATTTTCCACTAAGTGCTTACGTGAAATTACTTTTTGAACAAAATGATTTTAAAGTTTTTGTACACATAAGGATCGTTTTAATAAATTGTCGTTGGGGTTGTTGTTGTTGACAAAATTGCTTTGTGCGACAAATCAATCAATCGATTTCAAATGTTTAGTAATTAAAGATAGTTAAAGCTACAAAGCTATTGATTTTTTTTACACAATTTTCATCAATTTTTTCATTTGAATCTGTTTGAATCCCTCATTTCACGTGAAAAATTTTGCTGTTTTATTTCAATCTATGAGAACACTTTTAATGACAATATGGGAACACTTTATATGACATACATTCAAACATTGCAATCTCGTTTTCGAGTAACAAAAATCGTTTCCAGCCCGAATTCATGTTTTAATTAATGTGTCAGTCAGATATGCTTCTGTCGCAAGTTTGTCACTATATACACCATTTCTGTTTAATCGATCAATGAGATAGATACAAGAATTTTTCGCGATTCTTTTCTTTGACGAATTGTTTCAGGCAGCTTGGGAGACGGTTTTTATGGATTACGATACAAGACAAGGAATTTTCTACAAACCAAATCGAAAAACTGTTTCTATCCAATTTATGGAAAATCTATCGTTCTATCGAACTTTGAAGTTAAAGAATCCAGAGGCAGATATTCTGGAATTACCTTATAAAACACTTGGTAACAGAATTTTTGTTATATATATATTTAAAATATATCGGTAAAACACGGTTCGCATAATCGCAACATTATGCAAATCTAATTCCCGGGCTAACGATCAATTCCCGGGATAACATTACGGTATACCACGATCTGAATTACTAACATGCACAATTAATATTTGTCATAAGATAAGCTACAAATTATAATTACATTCTAAAATCAAAATCAGTCACGAACTCGCGCGTGTCTCTGAAAACCCCGAATGAACAAATCAAGTGATTTATATTAGACTGGAGTCGTTGCTACTCCATTCTGAAGGTGCAAATTTGGGTTAAACATCATGGTATGGGTCAAACATCATTCTTATTTTGTACAGTTTCTTATAGTTTGGCATGCGACAACTAACTATCTGTTTCAAATTCTTCAATTTGTATTTTTATATTTTAGCTGAAAGTGGTTTAGAAACAAGCATGATATTGATAATGCCGAGCAAAAGATATAATAACATGAATACGTTCATTTCACAAATGTCCGAAAGACAAAAGAACGGTTTGAACGGAATTTTTGATCAGATATTGACAAGAAGAAAAACCTATGTAAGTTACGTTATTATCTGTTTGAACCTGTCGAAAATTTAAATAGAAACAGTCATAATTTGAAACAAACTTGAAGTTTACGTATATATAGAAGACCGGCAGTCGAATAAAATAACTAACTCATTCTAGTTTACTTTTGAAACATGATTTAATATTTATATTTAAATATGTTAATCTTCTTCGATTGTTGGAATTCCAAATTCCCAAGTTTTTGGATTCTTCTATTTTATTTATTACAACTTGTGAAGCTTAGTTAATTAATACTACCAAATTTCAACGAGGAAAGTTAATGAAGCACTTTGAGAACGATCGATGCTTTTTTTGATTTAATGAAAAAAGCTGTGTCAAAAGTGCTGATAATCTCGTGTTGTTACTTTCTATTTTTCAGATTAAGTTGTAGTTATACTGTAATGAAGTGGTACATTAGTGACTCATAGCATTGGAAATTACTTTAATGAAATATAATTAAACTCAAAAATATTATTCCTTTTTAGTATGACGTCATCATTCCAAAGTTTAACGTTACAGCAGACCATGATTTGAAGGGCGCATTGAAAGGAATGGGAGTCAAAAATTTATTTTATCGATATAACGCTGACCTTAGCAATATGTATTTCAAAGGAAAAAGACCATTTTCATTGGATACTGCAATACATAAAACCGTTATGTCGGTGAGTTCGCTTGACACCTAAATATCTACAGGTTCTTTGAGTTTTACAGGCAATATTTAAAGAATTACTCAATTATTTACATATATTTAAAATTTCTTGATCGGTCACTTTTAGCCTTCCATAGGAACCCTAGAAACGATGACGTTTTTACCACGCCTATCAATTTTTGTGTGGAGGAGTGTTTATAAACCCCGCATTAATTTCAGAATATTTTATGCAATACAGGTCAACGAACGTGGAACAGAAGTTGCCGGGGTAACCGGATTTCGATTTGGACTCATTGTAGAACCACCGGTTATGAGGTTTAATCGACCGTTTCTTCTTGTTATATTGGAAAAATCCACAAAGAGTATTCTCTTCATCGGACGAATAAGCGATCCATCACTTCAATAAATGATAATTTATGACAATTTTTGTACACAAAGCTTTCAATAAATTTTCACAAAGAACATATTGCGTTATCTTCCACTTTCACAGTCAAAAATATAAATTGAAAAGAGTTTGAAAGACCAGACCAGCTCGGGGAAGTGTAGTAGGGAGAATCGCCAGAAAACTTCAATTCTCTACTTTTCGCAAAATTTTTATCTGTTTGGAATTCTAACAAAACCAGTACATAAATAAACTCGTTGGTGCAGTGTAGTTGAAAAAAGATCCCTTTCTTTATTCCATGTAATTGTGAATAGACCAGTTGAGGCCTGGAAAACCCGTGCGCGACCGGGTTGGTTTAGGTTCAGTGGGGAAAAGGTACAAACAATCCAAGTTTCATCTTATCGATATCTGATTTATTGAATCCATAGATCGTTTCGCTAAATGGCTATTCGTGTGCAGCGTAACGGTTCTTCGTTAAAAGAACACACTGGAATATCAACCTCGGCTTATGTATCATACAATCATGCTACTGGAAATAATCAATGCTGATGCCATGACAAGATGTCCTGCAGGAAGTTTAAAAACAAGAACCATAAAAAGACAAACGAGAATATCGGTCGGAGACCGAAGACTTATCGATCGAAAGTTAGGGGATCCCAAAACAGCGACCTTACTCCATAGTGACACCGTGTGTCTCATCACTAAATAATCAATAACTCGCTAATTATACGACATATTTCATCCAAAATCAATAGTCTTCTGGTACGAGCTATGGTGAATGCACATGCAAAATTTGGAGCAGATTCAACCTCGCTTTCGTGAGATATTTCGTGCATCTAACAGACAGACAGACAAACAAATACATTTCAACATATTTACCGATCTTAAGATCGATACGTAATCAGCATCTTTACAACCAATCATTCAAATGGGCTATGGGTGGCAGAGCTCCCAGAAATAATAAGAAAACGAATGGAAATGCCATTCAAAACAACACTTGTCAACACAGCCCCTATTAATATCACATGTTGTTTCAAATGGAAATCAATATGGTTGTGGGTTTTGTGATAGTTGGAAACACGAACTTGGACATGAGCATATCTAAATATTGAGAAGTCGAGTTGGCATGATTATCAAGAAGGTTCATTTATATTAAAGTCTCATAGGATTGAGAATTGCTTTTTGGCTAAAGCCAACTTTTCATATAAACAAGCCATTGAAAGATGGAATGTCACGCTCAGTGTGTTTGTGAATCACACCACTAATGAGGCTTTGGATTTTTGAGTTTGGTTGGGAATACTTCATCTCAATCCACAGGTCCTCACAGTTTTGCAAAGATAGGTTGAGTTCTTGACTTATTTGGTAATTTACGTTATTTTCAATGTTACAACTTCGTCCAAGTTATAACTGAAACAATATACCGCGTCATGGCGAATCTAAATCAATTGTCTTTTATATTTCAAAAACTTCCGACAGAGTTTGACTCCAGGCTCTTGCACAAAATTCGATATTAGTCTATACAGTGAGACTTTCTTCCTGATTACAACAGCAGCGTTGTCCTTGATAAACAACGCTCCCGAGTCCCAGATATATCCAATTTCTTCTGCAGTTCCTCAGGGCTCAATTCTTGGCCTTACATTGTTCGTAATATTCATCAATGATTTTTTGTTTATGCTAACGACTACACCCTTCATTCTGGTCTTGAGGCTCGATTGGGGTTTCTGAATGGGAAACTAGGATGAGTCTAAGTTTTACCACAAACGGACATATCAATCCTAAAATAGATCTAATACCGACGCTAGAGGAAATCATGCAAACCGTATCCAACGACTCGACTTAAAACAAGCCAATGAATGATTAGGTACTTTACCGTGTTCGTTCATTGGGTAAGTACTGCTCTGAATAAATCACTGACAGGTTCATGCATGGAGTATTACTGTCACATTTTAGCTAGTACTTCTCTGTGACCGTAAGAAACCCGTCGCCTCGGTTTTAACAAATAATATATTATAAAAGTTTTCTCAGAAAATTCACTACCCCGTAGCTGTCTTCCTGATCGTATTGACCTGAAACCCATAGAGTCTCGCGTCAAGCGGTATTCAATAACTGTCTCAGTAGCTATTGGTACTTCAGTTGATTCAACCCTGCAAAACTTTCAAACACGAAACAAAATTATGTCGACTTCAATAATTATTTCCCAACGGCAAATTGAATTAAAAATTATCAATCTAATTGATGGATACACCTGTATAAATTAACTGTGGGTCATGTTAAAAAATATCTCCATAACGTAGTATAGGTCAATGAAATTGAGATGATTACAAACTCAAATATGTGTTCACCAATTTTATTACACTTCGTAAATCCTGAACTGTAAATAACTCAAGATTGGATAACAGTGAGGTTGTCAAACAAATTATGATCCAAAAGAAGCGTATGTGTTCAAGAACACTTAAAATAAGCAAAGCATGTTAAATCACCTCTAAATATAATTTCAACGAGTTGCTACGTGGTCTTGAAATGAACACTAAACAGAAAGGAGACGCGTGTACATCACTTATCAAAAAACAGTTATATAGCCTGTTGATTTAAAAAAGTTGGCAAAAAATGATCCTACACACTGTCACACATTCTAAGGGCAAACACTACCAAGAATGGAGAAACCTTTGCAGGACATTCAGTATACACCAAGAAAGATATTCAAAACACTACAACATAAATATTCCTATTCAACAAATTTTAGATTTTCTCTATAAAAAGACTCGGGCTACCAATTTAATTCCAAAATAAAACATGATAGGAACGTTGTTTATTGTCTCCACATCAGCTCATCATTGACACAAAACTCTTTTCTGCTTCTTGCATTTTTTTCAATTCAGTTTTGAGTTGTTGAACCTGAACAAAAGTTGATTATTAGCCATATATTTGAGAGTGAAGTTTTTTGAACGCGGCGATTGTGGTCGCATAAGACAGGGATTTTAAACTATCGATCCACGTTTCATATCTCAACTGGAAAATGTTTCAGGCCGATTCTTTATTAAAATATAAAACATTGATTCTTCTAAATATCTCATCCAAGACAAATAGAGAAATTGAGCAGAAATGAACCATCCAATTTGCCTTTCACAACAGCGTTTTTGATATATCTATGTTTTAGTATCGTTAACATTTTTGTTAATTTTGACTAGTTCACAAAATTATCAATGAAAAATTTGACATACACAAATTTTTTTCATCTGGGGTTAAATTCTAAATGAAAAAATAATCGCCGAAGAGGGCTATGATCAAACATAATACTCTTGAAAGCAAATCATTTTTTTCTCTTTTCAACCAGTCAACCAGCAGGCATATTTTTTTTATAAAGTGAAGGATCATGGTTTGTTTTATAAGTGGACGTGATACAAAAAGATACGATTCTTATCAGGCATGCGTCAGAATAAGGCCATTCTAGAAACGAATATTTGACGAAAGTGATGATTAGTATAGTAGTTTTCAATTATTAACAAAGTGCTGATTTGTTGATAGACATTGCTATGAGGCAAGTTTTGCATCATCCATTCAAACTCTTAAATTTCGAACCAAGTTTGGTAAAGAAGTAAACAAATGCTAAAAGAACTTGAAAGAAATTCATTTGCTTTATAAAAAAGGTTAAACTTTTCTCCTGAATAACAGGAAACAGAAAGTGTTTCAACAACTTCCTTCAAATCTCATTGAAACTAGGATGACGTAAAGCAAATATTTAAACCCTTCAATGGAAGAGTAATTCAAGAAATGGGTCTTAAAATTTGTATTTAAAGGTCGACTGTCAATTCAGAAACGTACGAACGCATTCGCAAAGAAATGGGGTCACATTTAGGGTAGGATTATATATTTCATGAGCAGAAATGATAAGAAAACGATAAAACATGCACCTGCTTCGTACAATTACAAGTTAAGTTGGGTATGGTATTAGATACAGTTGATAAAGCGATTTTTCAAAGCTTGAGACATATTGTTTTAAAGAGCGAATTAACAACAAGCTCGCACGTCAATATTGTACGGCATGAAGAAAAATATATTTTAATGCAGACTAATCATCAAAATTCATTTTGTGTATATTATAGATATAGAATAAAATGAAGTATTGGTACATTTTCATCGCAAGTGCTTTATTCACTTGCTGTTTCGCTTATAAAAGACTAGGACACAAGAAAAATTCACCTGAAAGGTAAGAAATGTTATAGCTTAACAATGCTTGCCCACAGTATTATAAAACAAAACTATTGTAGTCCCTGGTTTCAATAATGTGATCAAAAGATCTGTCATTTCAATGATTAGCATGAATGATAGCTTTTTGAAAGCACTTAGTCAATGTATAAAAAAACAGTTTTAACTACTAGTTTGCATTTGCATTAAGACGATTTTCACATTGAAGGCTGACAGCAATCAATTATTCTATATCTTAGGCTTACAGGATAGAAATGTAAACTGTAAAATGTATTTTGATGTATGTTAATGCTATTTATATGGAATTAAACATTCCAAGTATCGTCTTATCGTCTATCGTATCGTTCAAATATCACACATCAACGTGCAAAATTTTTGAAAACATTCCAGGCGAGGATCTCCAGACGCAGGCAAAACCTGGAGGATGACAACAATCGCAAACAGATATTTTGCACATCGTTTGTTTAAAAATATTGCGAGACAGCAGGAATCAGGAAACATTGTCATTTCACCTTTTGTAGTTTCAACTGGGTTGTCAATGGTATTACTTGGAGCAGAAGGTGAAACAGAGGCTGAACTGATGAAACTACTCGGATATGATACTATCGGGAAAAAGAAGTAGGAATATTTAAAGTGAAACTAGGGCTTTGACTTATTGTGAAATTATCATTGAGAATTGAGATTATCGTATTCTATTAATAAATGGTGTTGATGTTGATCAAAAACTACGATTAAAAGAAGTCAGATATAAGCTTATTCATTAAAATGAAAGTGAAATTAAATCTTCGTTCAATGTGGCTATCTTATTTTAGCATGCTTAGTCAAACATTTTCATTTATAGGTTATTAGTGTTGTTGCTAATAGATCTGCCAGCAACATTCTATTCATGCTTACCAGCCAGTCTTGCTGCATGACAACTTGTAGAAAAATATGAACCTAAATTGGCTGTCTATCGGCGACATCATAGTTAAAACAGTATTATTGATAATTGTGGCCATTTTAAGTTTTAAAAATCTTTATTTTGTGTTGAAAGAATTGAGCATGAACATACTCAAGATCAAATCTCGATAAAATATTTGGAAATGGATAGTTTCTTAAAAATTTTCAGATGCTAAGAGTAAGTACTAACCAGAAATGTGGAATGGACTGCCAGCAAATTCAATGCCCTAAATCCTAGGCGGATGTACAAATTATTCAACAGTTGTTTTAATCATATTCACTTTTTTTAACAGAAACGGAAGAAAATACACAAAGAGAGATGTGCCAAGGCTCTATGAGACGGTTTTGGGCAATATGAAAAGAAGTTCAGAGCATGGTGGCTACATGTTCACGATTGCAAGTAGACTATTTGCAGAACAGTCCGAAACATTCTTACCAAATTTTATTGATGACACAGAAAGATATTTTGGAGCAAGACTAGAACAAGTAATATATAAACATATTTGGTTCATTTTTGCTAAAAGCTTACCAAATTTTATTGATGACACAGAAAGATATTTTGGAGCAAGACTAGAACAAGTAATATATAAACATATTTGGTTCATTTTTGCTAAAAGCAAATAGTTCATTACTATTCTTATAAGTTTGATTGATCAAAAATTTTAATGTTGTATTTCAGTTGGATTTTATGCATAATGCAGAAGAATCCAGAACTCTCATCAATGAGTGGGTCAGTAACAAAACTGAGAACACAATACCAGAAGCATTACCAAGTGGTTATATAACGAGCAATACCCTATTAACACTGGTCTCTTCAGTATATTTCAAGGTAAGATGCAGTATGAAGGATTTATCATAAATATAAGATCTACTAATTTTGATATCTATATATTAGAGTCTGAATTTTTTTTAATACAGTTGACGCCGGTTTGTGCTCTTTCGGAAAATAAAATAAAAGGAAAACCAAAATTGAACAATTGGTATTCTGAATGCAAACAAAAATGTTATTGTACACTAAATATAGCCTAATTTAGATTTTGTTCAACAAAAAAAAAAATTCGAATGACCATATCCTAAATATTTCCTTACATATTTTATTCACTATATTGGATATCACAATATTTGAATGCAATAAGATATTCTATTCGCTTTGTACATATTTGGCTCAGAACAACAAACCACTGGTAAACCACCTTACTCTGCAGGAATGTTATCTTCCAAATTTGACTCAGTTTACCCAATATACTATATCTGAGTGGAACTACAACCCGTTGTGTTCATACCTATAATTCCAAGTTGTGGTTATATCTTCTGCATTTATCACAGGGAGAATGGGAATATAAGTTTGAACATGAAAGAACTAAACCTGGGACATTTACAATGCAAGACGGAACAGAAATAGGAGTAGATTATATGGACGGAGTTTTTCAACTTGAATACAAGAAAGCATTACCCTGCCGATGTCATATTTTGGTTCTACCTTATAAAACAAAAGGTGAAGGCTATGAACATACAAGTATGGTACAAAACGATAAGCCAAATAAAAAAATATTCACTATTTTTAAAAAACACTAAACTTTTGTTAAAATTTTTTAATCTGGAAGACCCCGTCTCAAAATAACAAATAAGAGGAGTTGGCAATTGTATTAACAGATAAATTAATAACTAAAGTTGTGTTACCTCTGCAACCTTTACAGCACCTGAAAATTCTGACTACAAAGTATCAATGGAGCTCTATTTACCATGGAAAAGAAAATTTTTGCCATTGCTCTTGAATATGGATGAAGATTTTTTCCACCGTGAGCTACGTAATGTGTATACACAAAAGGTATGCCATGGCCTTACTCAAGTTTGTTCGAAACTATTAATTTTTTTGGGAAATGGGAATATGGTAAGAGGGAACTAAGAAATTTAGAGGAAGGATAGCATAGTAATCGCTCAGTCACAACATTAGCAAGAGTTTGCTTTCTTGATTCACAAGTCAAGTCCCAATCAAAGTATAGATTTCATAAACAATGGTGAAACAAAAATATATACTGCACCAGACACTTAAAACGTTATATTCTTATATCTTTAACTAAGGTCATGTTGAAAACTAAACTAAAATTTAATCACATAATGTTTTTTTTTGAGCTATTACTGCAGCAAGTTATTGTATTTTCGGTTTAGTTTTACAATACAAAATTTTTCAACACTGTAAATTGTTCTCCCAGATACTTTTTGCTATTTTGAATACTTGCCTCAAATTATCTCAAGTCTGAATGACTAATCTCCCAACAGAGGTTAAAATTACACGAATTTGATTGGTCACAATGTCATACCAATAAAAAACTGAGAACTAAAAAATTCAGTCATGTGTATGTCATAGATAGTATCATCCTACAATCTATTTCTCAGGTTACTTTGAAACTTCCAAAATTTCGAATCAATTATGATATAGACCTTGTTGAAACATTACAACGTTTGAAAGTTGTTACTTTGTTCAACAATGATGCTGATCTTTCTGGAATGAATGAAAAATACAATATCAACCTGGGAACTGCCATGCACAAGACATTTATGGAGGTAACAATAACTTAGAACTCATATAGAACAACAAAATTAACAGTGAACAAACACTGCTAATTTTTGCAAGGTGATCTAAAAAAAACTTCTTAAATAAAAAATAACAGGGTATAACAGAGATGTACAACATACAGCCTGTGGAACTCATTTATATTGCCTATAACAGACATTTTATACCTATTTTGAAATGCTTTCAACATCACTATGGCAATTTTTGACTTTGTGTTACATCACACGGGTGTGATGTTTCGTTCAGTGAGGATTCAACAATGTGATATTACTTTGTTGGTGCTATGCTATGATAGAAAAAGAGATAGTAAAGATTAAATGTCAACCAGAAATAAAGGATGGTGGATTATGGAAGGCACTGAATGGTGTCTGAGATACTTCATTGTCATTGATTTGTCAAAGCACCATGGCAGTAATGAATGAGCACAATGCCAAGCGACTATTTTACAAAGCATTTTGCTAGTCAATGTAAGGTTGTTCGATCGTTTGGTCCTCAGCGGCACCATAATTTCAAGTTTTGGTCCATTTTGAAAAACAATTGAACACCCTGGGTGCATGTTGAAAAATGTAATTTATCAGCCGATAAATGAAATAATCATCTTTGGTAATTTGGTTTTAATAATAAACATAATTTGGTTTTACAGGTGAATGAAGAAGGGACAACAGCTGCTTCCTCATTAGCTATAGGATCTTCAAAATCAGCAAATGATGTCGTACTTCATTTTGATCATACTTTCGTTCTGATTATTCGAGAAAAATCCACAAACACAATATTGTTCATGGGAAGAATTGATCAGCCAATACAATGATAAAAACTTGTTTCAATTCCACTGTTTCCAACTTTAATTCCAACTCAATCTTGCAGGGATGTGGAAACGGGGAAAATTTACACAAGACACCGAGACATTAAAATAGAGACTCTGCTATAAGTTGTAAAAAATTAAGACTCTTGATTATGGCTCCAGCTCTGAAGTCCGGACAAAAACACTTTTGATAATAAAATGTGTATGTATACAAGAAATACCTCTTGAGAGTGCTTAGTTGACTCAATTTTTTTTAAATTTTCGTCAAAAAAGTCAATTTCGACAATAACTATGAAAGGTCTGGAATCCCAACCACGGCTCCCCATCAATGAAGAATGATGAACTCCCGACTTTACAGCTTTTATGACTGCAGAATGAGCAATTTATTAAAAGCAAACAGATGCAGTTGTATAAGCTTAATTCTGCAATTTTGTTTTATGAATTACTAAGTCTTCTATAAATGAATACTATTTGTAACAATATTACAATAATAATCAGGAAATAAAATTGAGAAACATATTCAAATATGGTGTCAGTTCTGTACATTACAGTTTACAGCGATTGTAAGTTGATCTTGAAAATGAAACATTGGGTTTCTAAAGTACAAAGAGAAAGCAGGCTGAATTATAATCAACTCATTTCAGACTACCATGTTTGTTTGATGTCTAAGAGGAGAGGAAAGTTGATTTTATCAGAAAACTTTGTGCCTGAAAACCCCATCGGCTTCTCTGAAGTAACCGCGGACCGCCACAATTTTCAAATCAAAAATACAATAGGAGAACATAGCATAGAGCTATGCTTATCTAGGCAACATAAATCGTTTACCGCGGACCGCAGTTTGAGAACCACTGGTCTAGGTTATAAGTCTACGTGGGTATAGGAACCGTAACCGATTATTCGTTTCATATGCATGGAGTTGAATGTGGATGAAGTCATAATGAAGTAATCTTCTTCTTTCTAAGGGGACAGTAAGTCAGAAGTATAGAAATTTGTATAACATTTTCTGTCATAAATGAGAAGTACACACATACTTGTTTACAAAGAAGAAGTACATATTATTGCAAAGAACTCACTTTAAGCGTTGTTATAAAGCATTTCTCTGATGCTTCTTCAAGCGTACAATCAGTTTTTTTTTTCCGCATTAGAAGTTTTTTGAAGATTTTTATCAGAATTGAGACTTCATATGAGAATTTCAAGCAATCAGAGAAGTCATTCTGAACATTTGCTGTCAATGCTTATAATACGTTAATGCTGTTAAATCTAGCATCACACAGCCTATTGCCATACATATGATATAGCGCTATGCAAGCATTTTGGATCATATTTACGCTTACTATCAAAATTGGATATAGCCATTACAGTATGAATAATCATCACTTTATGTTGACTACCTATGTTAGCATGACATAAATCAGGAATTGAAAACAAAACCACATTGAAAAACATGCCTCTAGCATAAGATTATCTCATGTTCTAAGTATAGCCGTAAGGCAAAACACGTGAGCATGTTCACTATCGAAAAACAGAATGACAATTTATTCATTTCAGGTACAGAAACTGAGAGAAAGTTATGTTAAATATATCACAAGTTTAAAGAAAAACGTTTCGAGCAAATATTTCATGACATGTGTAAGCAGGTTGTTTTATTGACTTGAGTGTTATGAAAGTGAGCTTAGTTGGCAACAAATGGGAACATTTTCATCACATGAGTATGATTAAAGGTTCTAGATACGTTTTTATATTCATCTAACCTCTATAAATCACTAATTTCGATAGTTATCAGGACATTTTAATTAGAGACTAAAAGTTGCATTGAGCTGTGATATTGGTTGAACAGGAAGACCATATATAAGAAATCGTAAGTATGTATGCAGTTCATTCTGAGAGAGAAATGAGCGTACATTAACCTCAACCTCATTTTTCAATGTAACTGTTATTTGTGAATGTGATATGCGAGATCAACGTTATTTACAAATTTGTAGTTACTCGATGTAAGTTGATGGTTGAGAACTTTGTAGAGTGCTGGATATCAGGCAACCTCTGATCAGTATTGATATTCAACTTCAGAGTATTTCAGGGCAGGAAATCAATCCCACTTAAAAATATATTTAATGATTTTGTACAACCTTTTTTCAAAACATGGTATATAGTAGATTATTGAAATAATTTTTTCCTTGGTGCCTCAATTTTCATGTCGTACACTTTTAGATTTATAATTTAATAATTATGATAAAAATGAAGAATATTATTATCAGTCTGGGTATTGCAATATGTTTGGCCGTAATGTCAAAAGCAGATAAAATGAAAACTTCGACAACACCATCTGATGAATGCAGGTAACAATATTTTCTAATTGTCTAAATAACCTGCACATTGGGGAAAAAATAGGAAATATTGCGGTAACTGAACTGATTTATTACGACCAGTAATGGGAAATACAAAGCCTTCAGGCCATAATAAGTTATGGGAAAGTTTCATGTTTTTCATCTTTTTGCCTTAAATATTATCCCCTGCCCATTGTTTAGTTCCACCTACCAACAACTATTTTCAAAATCGATACAAACTAATCATCAAAATTTATCAAAATACAAGATCCGGAATATTCTTGAACATCCTTTCAAAGTTTGAATCTAGAAGCTACTTCTTGTGTTATGTTTCATGCTATTATTCTCTTTCAACAGTATGGCATCAGGTGCCGAAGCCAACAGAATATTTGCTTATGAAATGTACAAAGTAGCAGCAAAATTGAAGCCTAATCAGAACATATTTCTTGCTCCAACCACAGTTGGCTCTGGACTGTCGATGATGTTGCCAGGAGCAAGAGAAAGCACAAAGGATCAGATGCTGGAAGGATTGATGTTTAAAAACACATCGTATGTATTATTATATTTTTATACGGTGCCTATTCACACCGTTTGCTCTGAACAAGGCTTGAAAAAACAGCCACTGATATCTGACGATATGTAAAGAGCTACTATTATTCGAAAAGACTATATCTTTCCAGTTTAACATAGTCTGCCAATTTCATTACACCCTGTCCATATTCAATATACCAAGAAATAAGTGTGAATATGATTAGGTAAGTGTATATACTCAATTAATAGAATAAAATATACTTTAAAAAGCAGACAAAATATACTAAGTAAAAAAAATAGAGAAATAAAATAAGAGCAAAATAATACAAAGAAAAAAATCAGGATGAATGGAATAAGGCTCAAATCCCATTCATTGAAAATATTACTAAACATAAAACTTAAAAAAATTTCACTTGACTGAATGTAGTTCAGTGAAATATTTCGAATTGCATGCGCTATCAACTTTTGAGGGTCAGATAGACATTTGCTTGGGTATTGTCATATAGATAACAGTTTGAAGCTATCTATAGTCCACATACAAAAAAAACAAGTACCGGTAACCCAACTTTAAAGATAAGGAATGAATTTCACTAGAATGCCTTGAAAATATTCCCATTACAGGACTGGTTTTGAACCAAATGACATAGAATGCCTGATGAAAATGTACAGCAATGAACTGATTGAAACTAAATTGGAAGACAGAGGTAAAGGCACGAAAGATGTGAAAGCAGCAAAGGAGGATACTTTGCAATTGAGAACGGCAAATAGACTATTTGGTGAAAAAAGTTTCAACTTCAGTAGTAAATTCATTGAACAAACAGCAAAATATGGAGTGGAGATGACCAAGGTATCGAGACGTTGAAATTGAATTGAACAATTACAGTCTTGATTTTATGAATAACTAAGACAAATTTTATGAATAACTAAGACTAAGACAAAGGTTCATTATTTAGAATCTACTCAGTATTTCAGATTTGGAAGGATAATTCACAGCAACTTTTTTTTTTAATTTTTTTAATCAGTCGTAAAAATATTACAAAGGTGTTGCTTGGATAATAGTTTGAGTTCAGTAAATTTCATAGTAATTTGTACTGCAATGTAAATTGAGTTATCCAAGATTTATGCAAAAATATTGCAAAATATCAAGGGAACAATAATTTGAATCTTTTAATTGAAAGATATCATATAACCATCCATGAGACGTTATGGAATCATTTCTACCCTAGTCAGCTTAATGCAACACTTTACTCTAATAAACAACTACAAGAGGGAATATGTTCTACAGTAGATAATAATGAAGTTGAGGGAAATCATAAAACGGAATGAATCATTAGATATAATCGTTTATTAACTTTTTTACAAGATATAAGATTAATTCTGCTTTTTTATCAAATATTCAACTTCTACAACAGATGAATTTTCAAACCGATTCAGCAGAATCTAGAAATTTTATCAACCAATGGGTAGAAAAAGCAACAGAAGGTAAAATCAAGGATTTATTTAGTGGAAAAGCAATAAGACCTGATACTGTTCTTGCTGTAGTCTCAGCAATATATTTCAAGGTATTAATAGTTAAAAAAGTGAAATGTGTCGTATGTGAAATTAAAACTAAGTGCCACTCTAGTCTAATGTGAGTTCTTCCTCCAAGTTTACACTATAGCGAGAGGTCTACAGCATCATTTTTCAACCCCCAATTGTATTGGATATCACATGATTTAATACATGTAATTTAGCGATGAATACCTAATTTTTGTGTGCGCCATGTTTAGGGTAGACCTCAGACTGCTCCTGGATAAGTAACATATGAATTTAAAGATGGCGAATCAATGATCCATCTCTGACCTGATGCTAATCATACTAAATAGCATACCCAGATTGTACAGGGTCAACCAAAAAAAAAAAAAAGAACCAAAAAGAACCAAGGTCATTTGGAACCTATTTTAGAGAGAAACAACACTTTTGTATAACGTGTCCTAGATTACTAAAACAATTGGATACAATCATACACAAACATAAGTTGGAGTGTTAAATTTTTTTTAATTTTATTTCCATATTAAGAAATTTTGGGCTCTGTTTTTATGGGTCACCCTGTGTGACATGCAGAACAATTGTAACAGCAAGTTTCTTGATGGTACAAATATTCATTTACCGGTATATTGATTTCTTTTCAAAGTTTAGTAGCTCCATATTATTAATGGCTGGTGCTAGAGAATCTACATGCAAAAACGTCAACTTCATAGAAAATATTAATCTGAATAACCAATATTAACTGGTTAATAATAATAGAATAGACTAATTATATCATAGCAGAAAAATGAAATTTTGATTCCAACCGAAATCTTTGCATTATAGGGTCTTTGGAAATATCCATTTGATCCACTGAACACTTTCAAGCAAGACTTCAAGGTCAATGATAATAAAACAGTGAAAGCTGACTTCATGACTAAAATGATAAACTATCGTATGACATACTCTGAAGATCTTGAGGCACAAATACTTGATGTTCCATATGATGGAGATGGTGAGTAAAACTACTGATGAATATATATGTTAGAAATCCAAGTTGGAAAGATTCAAGATTGAAATATTTAAGGAAAGAGTATAAAACAGTTGTTAAAATGGCGATCAATAAAACACAACTGACACAAAGGATCCTCATAAAATTTCCATCCACAATCACCCCTTGATGACAATCTCAATCCTGTTGAGGTTTCGTCAAACTAAAACCCCAAAAGATAAAAATTGCACATTTCACACAATCACCAACTAACAATGTCAGATTATAAGAGGGTTTTAGAATTGTATTTATATGATACAAGGCTTTTAAGTACAATTATTGGGCATTTCTATAATGTCCTCATATTAAGTGTACATGTCATATCGAATGTTTATTTTTATCCTGAGAGAAGAAAGTCAATAGAACAGCTTTATGGTATACCGCAGTCCACAGCATCTCATGTGGTTACCACTTAGCAGTCCATTTCGGGTATGGATGGAATATGATGAATATGGGGATGAATGGAATAGTTAATTAGCCATTCGATTTGATAGTGCAAAAAGCGTGACTAACCACCGGTTCACTTGAACAATTGTGAGCGAATTCTTAAAAGGTAGTGTATATCTACTAACAAATTCTTCATAGTTTTAATAGCTCTTGTCTTGACACTTCATTAATCACCCATAACTTCGCTCAGAAATCAGTTTCTATTATTTTTGAGCAAGTGACCTTGCTTTGAACGATTCCTTAACAAGAACTTCACCCAGCAAACATAATGCTTCGGATATTTAACAGCATATGGAAAATATAACGCGAGCATGATACTGATTGTACCGACACGTAGAGGATCAATTGAAAGGGTCGAAGAAATGTTGAGCGAAAAAACAATGAAACCAATACTTGACGAACTTCAAGCAGAGCAACAGTACACACAGCGGGTAGGAAATTATAGACAACATTTAGATATTCAAAAGAAAAAGCAAATTTGAAAAACGTCTTACAACTTGCAAAATTTTAACATGTTATTAATATTGTGTATAGGCCCACTGTATGTGACTAGAAATGTTATTCACATAGCGACAACACTGTCCCTGAACAAGTTTCACAAATAGACATGACAATTACCCAAGGAAATTGATTTCGTTGCCCGAATTTTACTTCAAATAATTGCAATATTATTTCAAATAAAATTTTGCTATTTTTGCACCAACATGTGGTGTTCCATCAAGCTGGATCATCATATTTTTGATAACCTCGTGCTCAGCGGGGGGCTTTACTGATGTGAATTGCTAGGTTGGTGGGTCTTAATTTAATTTATTTGATTGATGGTAGAATTTCCAGCGAGACACATAACTTGTAAATACTAAAAACTTAAAAATACAAACATTTACCATTTAGGTCCGACTGCTACTACCAAAATTCAAGATGTCGAAGACATATCAACTCAAACCCATCCTGAGGAGACTTGGAATAAAAAACTTATTTAATCCAATCAGAGCAAACCTATCAGGAATGATTGATCCATCAGAAATCTCTCCTAATTTGTACGTTAGTACAGCAGTGCACAAGACATTTATAAAGGTATGTTATACAGACTTTTAATTTTTTATTATTTTATTGTGTGCGCTTCATAACTTTCCTTCAAACAAAGCCGATGATAGGAAACTAACCTATACAGTGCAACCATGTAGTTATTAGGCGAGAATAGGGAAGAAAATATTGTACATATTATTTTGAATATTAATTTTTTTTGACATGTTACTTGTTCATTGCCATCGGTATAGATTAATGTTTCATAAACAGTTAAAATGTTTCTGCAAACAACAGCATATAAAGCCAGACATAAGCCATGTGTTGCTTCTGCCATGCCAAAGTACTGAATGACGGTACTCTCAACTACTCATACCCAAAAAGCAATGCTTCAGTGGTTTGCTGTTCTGTCATTGTTCCGTTTAGGAGTAAGAAATAAGATTGGAGCATAGGTATCTCAGGATGACAATCACCCGGACAAAAAGTAAATGAAAAGAGCATTATGAAATAAAGCTCAATGCCCTACTACTCATCCAGTTATTTATTTCATAACTGATTCAGACCCTCTCATGTAATTATTATCTACACATTTGAATTTTTATCGTTTCATGTTCAGGTGGATGAGAAGGGAACTGAAGCAGCTGGTGCTTCAGGATTTGGAATTGTACCTCTCAGTCTTCCCCCCAGATTATTTTGCAACAGACCTTTCCTGTTCATGATATACGAGAAGAATACAGATGGTGTTCTATTCATTGGAAAAGTCAACGATCCTACTGTACAATGATTTTGGCGAATATTCACTACTTAGTAATCAGTCTAAGAACTTTAAGACATATAATTTTGAAGCCAACAGTTGTGCCCATATGTTTGTCATTTGGTGTATATATTCTATGCTTTGATTTGGTTCAATAATAATACATGAAATCTTGTGCAAGATATATTCCTTACTTCTGCTACAAACATGATAAAGTGATACTCTTTTGAGATCATTTTAGTATAGTCGTTTGAAGAACTTAGCTTATAATATTTTAAATTATTTAAATCAAGTACTCAGAATATCAAACTTGAGAAATGTTTTTCTGAGGAAGTCTGACCTTACAGAACTTCAGAAATATATTTGTGTTAGGGTGCAGCAGACTCTTAAATCAATTAGGATTTTTCAATCACTTAGGTTTATTTCAGAATTTTCGCAGCAATATTATGATTTAGGTGAGACTATCTTGAGTAAAACTGATCACTCATTATAGTGGCTTGCTCCTTTGTAGACTGGTGTGAACTAATCAATTTAACTCACCATAAACAGATAAATATGAATGACAAGGAGAGAAAATCGCCCATTAACCATTTTTACTTTGCCAGCTGGACCCATTTACTATATTATAACTAAATAACCCGCTTTGCATTTAAATGAATCAAAATGTTCAGACTATATTCCAGTTAAAATGCTTAATGATGAGACATCTGTGTATTGAAACAGATGGCAATCTAACAATTGTGAGGTTGATAGCCTGCCAGAATAGTTATGCCGGTATTTTGAGGCCACATGCAAAGCTGCACCATGCAGAGATGTTGCACTAAACCAGGGGTGGCCAACCTATGGCGCATGCGCCAAACGTGGCGCATTGCATGATTAGAGGTGGCGCATTGCATCTTTGACCCTTTTCATGCCAAAATTGTTAATTGCACTTGGCTTCTCCACGCCAAGCCGTTTTTTTGCGATTTACATGGTGACTTTTGATTGTACCTAAAATCTATTCTCCTTACTCCACGTCGCCCACTTACAGCTTGTTGGAATTAGAAACAACAGGCGATTATCGAGGTTAGCTTTTGGACGGACTTTTATGACATTCATTCTAGACTTTTAGCAAAAATTAGTAAAATTTACTATTTTTTCCCTGCTGAAGTAAAAAGTTCAGAACTTCTGGAAAAATAGAAAATCGTCATTTATCAGCTTGAAACATGGATTTTCCATTGCCCAGACTTCCCAAATATCTCTCAATAACCATTGAACAACCAGTTGAATTGCCCAAGCCTAAAAAAATTATTATAAATCAACCCACAACATGCTGAAAATGACCCTTAAATACCACCTTTTTCATCCGAACTTCAAATGACCGTTGTCAACAAAAGCGAAGCGTAAAATCGCTTGCTGTGACACAAGTACTAATCTCGAAGAAGCCTGGAGTAAGATCACGCGACGCTAGGCCAAACAGCTGATTAGCAAAGGCCAATTAGAATCGAGGGTAGAGTAGAGTAGATATTGATACTAAAGGCCTGTTATCACAATATTGCGCCTAACTTTACTTCTCAACCGTACTTTTTTCTCTTCGTTGTTAAAAACAGCTTTATTGCGTAATGCTCATAAGACAGAATGCGTTTTTCTCCTACTTTCAGGAAGACTGTAGTTTCTACTTGAAGCATGGCGTCACAATGGTTCCCTGTTTCGTAATCAATCGTAATCTGTTTATCGTAAATTGCTCGAATTTTTGCGTGGGGACGAGAATTTTCGTTGTTTATTCATTCAGTGTTTAATTCAGTGATTCGGTAATTCTCTAAATGAGTGGTTTTCTGTAAACTTAATTGGTAAAGTTTCTTCTTGTGTGTGTAAAGGCGTGAACTAAGGTTGATTTTTGTTTGTAAACATTTGCAGTTGGGTACTTTTCTAAATTTAAGCATTAAGCTTTGCTTTTATATATTGTGTTACCCAACACAGTGCGAAAGAAAAGGAACAAAAGAAAGGCGGAAACTGATAGTAAGCGTGAATTTAATGAACAATGGGAAAATGAGTTGTTATTTATTGCAGGTCCGTCAAGAAAACCGTTGTGCATTGTTTGTGAAAAAACTCTTTCACAAAATAGAAGGCATGATCTCAAGAGACACTATGAAATACATAAGACTGAAATTGAAGGGAAACCCAAGCTTGTGCTTGGGTCCGAGTTAAGGAAAGAATACGTGACTAAGAAAAAAGAAGAAATCAGAAAACGACAAAACATATTTACTAAAATAAGTTGTGGAAGTCTGGCGATGACCGAAGTCTCCTACGAAATTGCTTTAGCACTGGCTAAAAAGAAAAAAAGCTTTCTCTGACAGAGAAAAAATCGTTAAGCCTTGCCTCCAGATATTCGCAAGAAGTCTGGGTGATGGAAATATTAAAAGGAAAGCTGATGAAATAGCACTATCAAAGCAGACTGTTACAAGACGTACTGAAGAACTTTCTGGTGATGTGTTTCAGCAATTGAAGGACCTTGCTAATTCTTGTACTTTCTTTGCATTGGCATTGGACGAATCAACTGACATATATGTGGTGTAGCCCAGTTAAGCATATTTATACGAGGAATTGATGACAATTTCAGTGTCTTTGAAGAACTTCTCAACTTGGAGTCGCTTCATGGAAAAACAAGAGGATCAGACATATTTGACAAAGTAAAATCGTGCCTGGAAACTTTCCAAATAGATACTAGTAAACTTATCAGTGTGTGTACTGATGGAGCCCCGTCAATGATCGATCAAGTTGCTGGGACTACCACTTTGCTTGAGAACTTTTTACATCGTCCCCTCTTAAAATATCACTGCATTATACACCAAGAGGCACTGTGTGGAAAAAGTTTAAATTTGCAGCATGTTATGTTGCCAGTTGTGAAATGTGTGAATAAAATCAGAGCAAGAGCATTAAACAGACGAGAATTCAAAGAATATTGTGAAATGTTGGATTTGGAATATGGTGACCTTGTCCTTCATTGTGAGGTGCGCTGGCTTTCTAGGGGACAGCTGCTGAATAGATTTTGGAAGCTAAGAAATACTGTCCATGATTTTCTTGAAGAGAAAAACGAGCTACCTGAGGAAAGAGCACTTACTTTTATGTGATAAAAACTGGCTATTTGATTTGGCATTTTTAGTTGATGTTACTAGCCATCTCAATGATCTAAATTTGAGACTGCGAGGCAAACGCAAACTATTTCCAAGCTTAGTAAATGACATTATCGCATTCAAGATGAAGTTGAAACTTTTCGTTTCCAAGTTGGAAAAAGAGGATTTGTCCCAATTTCCTCACATAAAAGAACACCGTGAATGAGCTGCTGGTAATGGCAATTTGGCAATATACACAGAAAAAATCAAGTTTTTGCAAGAGTCATTTGAAAGTCGTTTTCATGATATTTCAAAAGAAGAAGACTCTATACTTGCTTTTATAAACCCATTTTCACTTAGTGAACTAACCATAATGAAGATGCCAAGCAATATACAATTGGAACTAATTGACTTGAAAACTCATCCATCATTGAAAATTAAATTTGATGAGCTTTCTTCAGTCCCAAGTGCATCTGACATGATCAAGTTCTGGCAATCGTTACCCCATGAAAATTTTTCCAGAACTGAGAAAATTTTCCCAGGGTTTTATATGTCGTTTCGGAACGACATATAGATGTGAACAAACATTTTCAGCCATCAAACTAATCAAAAGCAAAGCGAGGTCAAGACTTACAGATTTAAATTTGAAGAATGCACTGCTCCTCTCAGTAACAAACTTAACTCCAAGAATAAAAAACTGGCGAAAGTAAAACAGCAGCAAAAGTCTCATAAAGGCGGTACTTGGTTAAAATTGATCAGTTTTATTTATTATACTTCCTTGCTTAATTTCTATTCATGTGAAGTTGTAAATTGTAAAAACTACATATACGTGTGTATATATGTGTGTGTATTATAAATTTATATAATTTCAACAAGAAGCGGACATTAGGCGTGGGAATACAAGAGATTTACGGCGCATCTGAAACATTATGTTTAAAACGTGGCGCATGGTATGTGAAAGGTTGGCCTGCATGTGAGGTCATCAGACACCGTTAACAGTGAAACACACGTACATGTTTCACTAACATATAAAAAGCCACATAAAAACTTTCTATGCAGAAATATTGGGCTAGGTTGGTTAGATAAGCTAAAAATTCAATATATATGTATAAATGAAGAATAAAATAAAATTCGTCAAGATATATTCCATATTAAGCTTTGTACAGATTGTAATTGTGAAATCCAACAGGTTGTAAAATCAATTTCATTTACCTTTCAAAAATGTTAACTAATGAAATAGGTCGTCATCGGAAACTGAATGTTAGCAATATATACTCTATATTACAATACCTTCTCGGAATCAGCTTCTTGAACTTTCTTCGGAACTTTTGAGCTGTATTCTTCCTTGGCCATTTTCTTTTCCATATCTTGAATCTTCTTCCCATTTTCTGCTTGTTTCTTTTGAAGTTTCATAATTTCTTTGTCAAGATCAATTAGTCCCTGAGAAATTAAACAAGTGATTCATATAAACTTAATAACCACATACATACATGCTACATAAATACAATCCACATATAATAAATAAAGATGTTGTGGCATTTCCATATAACAGATTTGACTATAAAAATGCTTAGACAACTAAATTTTAAACATTCACAATTAGAATGCAAAGAGTTATGAGTGTGGAAGTATAAATAATCAGACATCCCCAATATTACCTTCAACATTAAATTAACATCACATTTATCGTTGACAATCCCAACTGCACATCCCGATGGCGCTTTCTCATCCTTTGTCAAAATCTTGATATTAGATGAATATGAGAGAGTTTTAACAGCTTCTGTATACTTCGCTATTGTCGTTGCCAAGGATTCATCCGTACAATGGATAAACACTGAAACAAAGGTGAGAAAAATTCACACTAGTTTACTTAGCAATTGGTGGTCTACAAATGAACAAATAAATACTTTGAATAGAAAAATGGAATCTGTATCTTGATTGAATCAATAAATATCCTGAGGGCAACGCTACCATCTGAGCCAAGCTAAATCTAGCCCCGGATTGCTTCCAATAGTACCTCTGTACTATATATATATACGACAGAGTTATGTGTCTATAAGTCAAATTCAGTGCGATCAAAGTTATGTGTGCATATATGGGAAGATATACAGTAATTTAATTATGATATAGATGAGGAAAAAAATTATATAGGGTCAATATCAATAATGACTAGACGATTTGTTTACTGGAATTAAGAACGATTGAAAATACTTTAAAATACTAAATCACCTTCAGCTTTTGTTTTGGTCAAGTTATAATCAGCACGTAACGATCTCGTTGTTTTAATGATAGAAGAAATTAAATCCATCTCTGAATCGATCGCATCATCTGCCCATGAATACTGGTGAAAAAAATTTATTAATTAAAACATTAATATATTTTATAATCACCATGTTTTATATAATTTAAGTTGGAGAAAATCTTTATTTTTGCAAAATACCTTATTTGCTCCTGGATATTCAGACACCATTACGCTTGGACAACTTCGTTCATTCTCTTTTCTTTGTGGCAACCTCTGCCAGAGCTCTTCTGTGATAAAAGGCATGAGAGGTGAAGTGAGACGTAGCGCAACTTCCAGACAAGTATAAAGTACATTTCGTGATGTTTCAATCGCTGATGCATCAGCCCCAGAAAATACAGGTTTCAAACACTCCTGAAAGATCAAATTAACAGTCAGCAAGAAATTAACTACTGAAAAAATTGACTAAAATATATAAGTTCTATATTAAACAGTGATTTTCGACATTTTCTTCAACATAATTTTCTAGGGCAGAAGTTGTTATTATAAATAAACTCACATTAATTAATTTATTGTGCTCTGCTCATACATATAACGATTTTTTCACTTACCAAATACACATCGCATAGTTCATACAGCCAAAAGTTGTATATTGCAGTGGTTATGCTTGGAAATTGATAGGTTCCGAAGCCTTCATTACAAGTTGCAACAGCTCTTGCAAGTTTATTGAGAATCCACTTATCGACGATACTTTCTGTGCCATCAGGCTGGGAAAATAAAACAAATTAATAAAGTGTTGTTAATGTAGTCATTTTCAATTTTACCCTAGGCAGACTAAAATTTCAACAAAACTAGAGACCATTCAAATCTTTGACTCAAAACCAGGCATTAATTAAGCAAGCTGCCACCTTGTTTGAAGATAAAATACTTACTGACTGAAATAAATACTGATAATGACTTAAATTAGAAATTGTGTTAGAATTATATGTCAGGAAAGCTACTAAGGATGTTATGGTATTTTTCCAGTCAATTACTCACTGAAAACTAACACTGAAAACAAATGATACGAAAATTGGCTTGAACTGAAGTAATAAAAAATATTAGTATTTCACTTCATTCTTGGTATTTGTCTATACGTACAGTAAAAAGCCTCACACATTATTATTTACAAACATAAAAAAATTCACCTAATAAATAGGGCCACTCCAAGCTAAAGTTGAATTTGATCAATTTTTCAAATAGTGCAGTAAAAGTAATTGTTTGGTATTTTTTATATCAAAAGACATATGCATTTTATTGGACTGCAATTATTTGATGGGAGAAAGTTCAAATTTCACTCAGGTTTTTGATGGTTTACACAAAATGGCCGGAAATGTGGAAATTTTGATATAATTGACATTTTTTGTGATGATTCGTAACAAAAAGTGTTGATTGTTTGGTACAGTTGTTTCATTTCAAAAAGATGCACTGGACTTTAGTTAATAAAGATTAAGTGTTTGCAGCGCTGTAGGACATGTCTTTACCTATTTATTGTTAGAATTTGAGAGATGATAGGAGCCGCCGTTTCAAAGTGGAAAAATGACCTGTAGTGTCACGTCCCATAGAGTCACGTACAATGTGCAAATTATCATCATGGATTTACAGTGTTACATTGAGTAACTTGAGTGGCACATAGAGGGGTCCTTCAGTTACTGCACCAGAAAATATTGAGGGCTCCCGCTATACGAGCGCGATAATTTACAACACACCACAACGAAATGTTAATGCACAGTGGATTTGCTGTCCCGTAAAGTCATGTATATATTTTATATCCACTAAGTAAGTCATGTGTGTAACTTTCGTGCAGTTTTGTTCAAACCTCATCAAGCAACTGATTGGACAATAATACAAAACATGACAATGTAAAAATCTATTGCATCTAACAACATGCAAAATTTCGGGAATTGTCCTGTAGAGTCACTTGGAATAGCCCAATACTGACAATAATAAATAGTGAAATCTTCTAATAAACAAATGAATACTTACTTGAAAGTTTGCTTTTGGTACAAAATTGTCACCGAGTGACCGTAGTGAGAATTTGACAGCATTCCATAATTTATTGCAGAAATGTCGATATCCAAGAATGCGATTAACGTCAAGATTGATATCTCTGCCTAAAACAAAAAACAAAATTTTTTTTCGAGGCATTTTTGCTTCTTCTGTATAAGCAATCACCAACTACGCAAAGAGCTACTATTCTTGGAAAGATCAGAATTTTTCTGGCACAGCTTTTTCGGATGGGGTGCATGTTATGCGGTTTGAACTAGAGATGTACTGATACCGCGTTTGTCACTGATACCGATTAGATACCAATGAAAAAACCGCCGATACTGATACGCCAATATTTTTAGAAAACAATATTCCGATACAATAATATGTAATCATTACCCTAAGAGTGAAGGGCAGACGGGTTAAAACAATAGTTTGTGAGCAATATTCATAGGGCACATTATTTCAAATTGGAAAAGAAATATTCCAGACAATGAGAAATTGATGTTTGTGATCCAGATGCATTGGGCACCGGCGGCGATAATCTTGGTGTTAGATTAGAAAACTCAAGGGTTACCATGGGTGGTTGAAATACATTATGCTTACTTATCCTATCAAATTGATGAGATTTAAAATGCTTAAAATGACAAATTTCTAGACGAAAATATTCAAGTAATTTCTAAAATCAAGAACTTACTATGTCGGATATAACCAATTAAGAATAGTAGATTTGTCATCCCTGCCTGTCACAACAACAAATATACATGTAGCTCCCAGTGTGGTCACTTACATTCATGATATTTAATCCTAACTTGAGCAGAAAAAAGAAAAAAGCCAATGAGCTAACCACAAACCTTGGCAAGTGTAGGCACAGAGTGCAAATCGTAAAGCATCGCTTCCACATTCTGGAATTCCGTCTGGATAATCAGCTTTCTGACCTGCTTTTGCAGTTTCAACTTCTCTCGGTTCAAGGTTACTATTACGAAGAGCTTGATGAAGCTCCTAAATTGGAAACATAAAATATTAACTGAAATCGATTAATTTGTGCAATAGATGGGGTTAGCATATGGGGTCAAATAGTATTAAATCTAGGCCAGGGGTCACCAACGCGAAGACCATATGAGTCGCCCGCAGGTCTTAATAACGGCGCTTAAAAGTAAGCTACATCAATTAAATTTTGTCCTGCTATTTTAGTATATAAATCACACTTATACGGGGACTGGAAATGACACTATATTAATTATTGTAACCTTCAACCTTCTTTTTGACGGGTCAATTAACACTCTTTCGATTATGACATCACACTGGTATCACTTTTCACGAACCCGCGCTCTTTCTTGTCCGCTGGTTTGTGGAGCAGCAATTTTACAATTATTGATTCCGAAGTCCGGGAAGGCAGAAAAACGATGAAAAACCCATCATTTTCACGATGAATGGGAGGTGGTTATATTTTAACCACCTTGAAAACAGCCTGCGTGTGTCTCATTAGCGGGGCGATTGTAGCGACGGCAAATCGAAGATACATCTTGTCACGCAATCTAATACAATTTGTCACCTATTTTACGAGACCATTGTCTGGTTCCACCTATCTTTGTGAATCAACATTTTTGACATGAACTCAGGATAGGAGGAGATTTACATATTTATCCCGGGGAAGAAGATAGCTGATGAGACGGCTTAACCATATGACGAACCACGGTTACCATTCCATGTCGGGTATGGGATTAGGTAGTTATTTGTTTCCGGAAGCATGGACTTGATGGCGAAAGAAGCCGTAACTGACCAGCGGTTACGTGAACCACCCTACGGCGGCGAGGAGTCCAGCAATCCTCTCGTGTATACCTATCCACGCGTGGGATCATAACCTAACGCTTAACACAATGGGCCACAGCGTCGCGACTCACTCCACCAGGAACAAACACGGAACACGCCTCACTGATGAAAATCTGCAGGACTCGCTCATAGTCACAGTGTCAAGTTACACGTCGGAGTATAATACTCTGCAACATTTGATAGTACAACTGTTAAGCCATTTTATCTTAGTCTTGTGCAGAGTGTTGAAAATCAATTTTTTTAGAAGTTTACATTGAACTGGTACTAGCCCGCAGCTTAGTCTGTAGCCAGAAAGTAGCCCTCGGCCTCGAAAAGGTTGGTGACCCCTGATCTAGGCCATTTCAAACCAAATTATCTGCTTGTACGGAGCCTTATTCAAGCAAAGATATAAAATTTGTGTTCCATTACCTCCAATGTGATTCCGTTTATAACATCACTAGGATCGATGACATTTCCCAAACTTTTACTCATTTTTCTTCCATGGGCATCTCGTACCATCGCATGTAAATAAACTTCTTTAAAAGGAAGTTTATCTATAAAATAACGAGTTTATGTATCAACACAAATATTCACAGAGTAGAATGGCGTTAAAGTACTCAACGAAAGTTTCATTTAGCAACCAACAAACAACCTGATGAGGGAATTCAAATTGTGAAGGTTGAAAATTTATTTGAATGCCGAATTTGATTCAAATTAATCTTACAAGGTATTAAATGGTTTGATTAAACTTTTTATCTTTTCCTTCAATTCTAAGAAGACACTATAATAGCAGCCACTGACATATAATATTACGAGAGAAGCTACTTTTATTTGCAAGAACGAGATCTTCCCGGTTTGGCATAACCTACCCACATTTTTACACCCCGGGTGGGGTGGGGGCACAGGATTCAATCAAAGTTAAATTTAAGGGAGGTAACCTATAGGCTTGCACGTAATTTACAGATTTACGGAATTATTTCGAGTTACGGAAGGGAAGTTACGAATTACGTAAAGTCGTAATTATTGGTCGAGCGCTTTCGCGATTGAAACGAGCTCTCTTCAAAGCAGTCAATTCCGTCGATTGTAAAAAGTGAAAGTTTAAAAAGAAGTTAAAGCTTCGGTATTTGCAGCCGTTTTTCTCACTTTTCTCTCTCTTGCCAATACGTCACCGTGATAATTAATGTCGCGCTTATCAAACAGCAATATGACGACGGAAGAGAAATTGCGTAATGAACCAACGCAACTTCGTCTTTTCGGCATCGGTAAAGCGATTGAGACGGCAGAGAAACAACAATATGACGGGATTTCCCGCGATCCGGTAAAAATCCTTTGCGGACCGTTGACGGTCCGCGGACCGGCGGTTGGGAAGCACTGTTTTAGAATACTTAAATCGAATCCAGAATCCTATTCTATTTTTATAGTTACCGTATTTAAATAGTGGGATTTCTCCACCACAATGATTGAAATTAAAAAAAAAAGTTAAATTGTAGCCTAAAAGTTTAATGTATAACTATCTTTATGCAGTATTTAATTGAAAATGTCCTGATCATTGGATTATATTTAACCAAGGCAACGAGATTTAAGAATTTCGACGATCGTTTTTTTTTTGTTTTTAACAGTTCAATATTCTCAATTTAACTACTATCAAATATCAAGTATGAGCCAGTGTGTTTATTCTGTGCGAGAACCATTTTCAATTACAAAACCTTGATGTTCTGTTACCGGTATTATCGTTTTATATCAGTCCGGACTTGTCCTTGCTCAATATTTTCCACAATGCCTCGCAATATTTCGGCCAAATATGATTAACTGTCTTTACCAAATGCGGCAACTTATTTTGATTCTTGAAAACCACCGACACTCGACCAAATTTGTGTCAATCTTGGCCGATAGGATCGTCGACTTGAGTTAGAAAAATAAGTTAATTTTTTCGTGCGTGCAAAATAAATGTCACAATATGCATTTTTTTGCGATAGAAATTTGTATTTTCGGAAAAGCCATATCATATAAGTACGGTATTTAAATTATGCGCAAATAATTAATATTTGATCTAAATTTGTTGCAAATAATGTTACAACATTTATGCCGCGACAGGATTTAATGTAAAATGAAGCATGGTAATCGGAATAACGTCAATAAGTCGGCATCAATAATTATTATAAAATGCTGACTAGGTACTAAAGTCGAATAATGTTAAAAACGGTGCAATAACAAGCCTTCGTCGCGAGGCAAGAGCAAGTATAATCAAACGAGAGAATACGCTCGTCATGGCATTGATAAATTGGAAACCCGACATTTTTTTGAATACGATTTTAAAAAAGTCAACTATCGTTTCATAAATATCCGTATACCAGTGTCGGTAATGATAAAATTGATCGCATAAAATTGGGACGGTTGATTTGCGAAGGTGATAAAGGAAATCAAAGCTAGCACAAAAGATAACAATCAGAATAAAATTAATTTGAATTCACTCTTGTCTTAACATCTGTATGGTGGCCCATCGTTGTCACGCGTAAAATTTAAAAAAAAAATGAAAAAATAAAATGAAAAAGCGAAAATAAAAAAATAGTTGTGAAAAAACATAAAAATATTTGAAAAAAAAGAAATGAAAAAAAAAAATTAAAATCAAAAAAAAAAATTAAAAAAAAACGAAAAAAAAAACAAAAAAAAAAAAAATTAGATAAAAAGAAAATAAAAAGGTTGACAACGATGGTCCGCCTCGTGGCCCATCGTTGTCACGCGTTTTTATTTTTAGAAAATTTGATGCTGATTGGGACCAACGTTGTCAGGCCTAATCCTACACGCACAAATGTGTTTCCTGGGTTTCTAACTCACTACTGATTTTCATGAGCAATATTTAATAAATTCAACATGAAAATGTTCTATAAATTCTTCATGCTACAAGTTCAACCACAAGCAATATAATTATAATAAGAGAATATAGAATTGAATACGAAAAATTGTTTTTACGTGTAGAAGGTAATTTAATTGGAAAATGTGGCTTAACTGCTCAGTTGTCTGGACACTCGTGCGATACTGGTACGGTACCGTCTGACCATGCAATCACTCATGAAAGAATGGGAGATACGGATAGTCTCGTAGAATATAGACTACTGAAACTCTCTCTGCGCCTGCCCCATACCGTACAGCCGTAACGTACCGATCCAGACAAATGATAAATCGCCCTTGCTCAACCATTTATTTCAATTCATACCTCGACTCACTATATTCTACTAGGATCGAGGTATGGATTGAAATAAATGGTTGAGCACGGGCGATTTATCACTTGTCTGGATCGGTACTGTACGGTATGGGGCAGGCGCAGAGAGTGTCTCAGTAGCCTATATTCTATGAGACTATCCGTATCTCCCATTCTTTCATGAGTGATTGCATGGCTACCGGTACGGTCAGACGCAAAGGGACAGACAACTGAGTAGTTAAGCAGCATTCTCCAATTCAATTACCTTCTACACGTAAAAACAAATTTTCCGAATTTTCGTATTCAATTCTATATTCTCTTATCTTTATTATAAATATATTACGTCTTGTTGAACTTGTAGCATGGAGAATTTATAGAACATTTTCATATTGAATATTGCTCAAGAAAATCAGTAGTGAGTTGGAAACCCAGGGAACACATTTGTGCGCGTAGGATTATGCCTGACAACGTTGGTCCCAAGCAGAAGCAAATTTTCTAAAAATAAAAACGCGTGACAACGATGGGCCACGAGGCGGACCATCGTTGTCAATCTTTTTATTTTCTTTTTATTCAATTTTTTTTTTTTTTTCAATTTTTTTTTTTTACATTTTTTTTCCCATTCTTTTTTTTTCGTTTTTATTTTCAATTTTTTTTTTTTTAATTTTAATTTTTTTTATCATTTTTTTTTCAATTATTTTTATGTTTTTTCACAACTATTTTTTTATTTTCGGTTTTTTATTTTATTTTTATTTTCAATTTTACGCGTGACAACGATGGGCCACCATACATCTGTCACCGGCGTGTAGTACTGCCAGGAATATGAAAACCCAAACTCGATGTCCCAATCGAAAATGAAGTGGATTCAATTGGTTGTTATGATAGGTTTAAATGTGTGAAAAAATATCGCAATTACGGGGTCATTACGTAATCGATTTGGCCGTAATTACGGAATTGATTTTTGTCAATTACGTGCAAGCCTAGTAACCTATGACGATGTAGTTAAATACCTTTTTCCCTGATAAAAAATCTCAAAATTGGACTCATCTTTTCTTGACAAAAATAAAATTTCACCAGACATTTTTTCTAGCTGAATTACTTTTTAGATGAAGCTCAACTTGAACTGGGGAATAGGTGAATTAGTGCTTGTCAACCATGAGATTAGTATATAATCAGTATATAAGTATGCTCATATTACATTAATCTCAATCTCTACAAATTTGTTGTCAACATATTTTCATAATATCGGAAAAAAAAACTTTTCCTATTGAAGAGTATGAAACAAAAAATGTCTTGGTACCTGTCAAATGTAAGGAGAACATGACCATCCTTGCAACCCAGAAAAACAGAATGTCATGACCAGTTTCAAGAAGTGTTCCAGGGAAGAAATATTTCAAATCAGGAGTCTGTAAATAAAATTGATTAACACATTAGCCATTAATTTTTTAGAAATATTGCCATTTGGGTGAGGTGATTATTAGGAGTACAGGGATTTTTATTTTAATTGTTTTTCTAATAATTATTTTAATTTTTTTTTATATTCTCGACTTGCTCTGTTAAGGCAGCAGGTAAGCCTTATTAACAATTTAAACGCTAGGTCATCATGTAGCGACAATAACATACTAGGTCCAACTTTCTAAACACTAGGCATTCGTGCTAACTAACACACCTAATATATTTTGACCTAAATATTTTTCAATGCGAGAAGCGCAACTGGTAACAAATAAAACTGAGTAAACTAGTTTACATACAACAACAATTGTTTTTTGACTAGTAATATAGCATAGGACTGAAATTTAATCCATGTTATTGTATAAACAAAGTTACAAACAATACCAAATATTAAATTCTAAATAATAAAATCTTTTAATTTCTACCTACAATTCTTCACCAGAAAAATGAAAATTTACTTTATGGACTTTAAATCTGCTACTGCTAGCATTAAAAAGTTACCATCTCGAACATCAGTAAAAAGATAACAAGAGATTTCAACTTACCTCATCTGGCCAACCAAAAATGGAAAAGGGAAGCAATCCTGATGAAAACCAGGTATCTAATACATCGTGATCTTGTTCTAACGATATTTTTGATTCATCGACTTTGAACGCCTTTACTGCCTTAGCAAGAGCTTCCTTCCCATCTCGACCGGAAAACCAATATTTTCCATCTGTCCTCTGAAACAAAGGGACAATCCAATAGGAAACAGGAATTTCCAATCTTAACTATGAGGGTCAATGGTGGTGAATTTGGCATAACTGGTGGCAAATTGTGCAAGCAAATAATTCCCACTTTTCTTCACTTCATGAAAAGGCAATTGGTTGCCATTTATTCCCAATCAAGCTTTAACATAAAGAAGCTTGTAAGATTGTTAAATTTTTGTAATGCAATTCTCAAGGAGAAGAGTGTCTGTTCACTAGATATGAATAAAATATGACATCGTTGAATTGTATTTGTAAATGAAGATATTAGATAAAAGTAAAACCCTTTAAAACCTACCTTTTTTCATATACTCCAATTGTTAATAAGTCAAATCATTTATTATTTTATGTAAATACCTATTTGGCGTAAAGTCTACTGGAATACATCAATTCTACTTACTTGACCAGGTGGAACAGATGGATCATCAACAGTTGCAAAATATGCAGGAATTCTATGTCCCCACCATAACTGTCTGGATATACACCAATCTCTGATATTTTCAAGCCACATAAACCTAAATCAATGACGAAAATAACTGTTTTAAGAAAATGAGTGAATGAGTATTGTTGACTTTTGAACATCAAACTTTTTATTGACTATTGCTTCAAATTCTGATTAATAACACAGCTTTTTAAAAAAAAATCAACATTTCAACATTCGCCCTTTAGTCTTTCTCGAAATATTGTCAGAATTTCTGAAACTTAATTATGGTATAGGAAATTACTTATCAATATCAGCTAATCCATTTGGATTCCAGCAAACAAAACATAAAATAAAACCTATTTACAAACCATGTTTTATTGTGAATATCTGGAACAAGTTTTAACTCTCCTGATTTTACTGCTTCAACAGATCTTCGTGCCATGTCATTGCAATTAACAAACCATTGAGCTTTGATCATTGGCTCAACAATATCTTTGGATCGACTGAGAGTAAAACAATGATATTACCAGAAAACGATAAATACTTTAAGTCTATACCAAAGCTCTAAAAACTGGGCGTTTCGACCCTCGGTGGTTGCGAATGAGCTAATTGGGGGTCATAAATCATAATAAAAAATTTTCAGCACTAACTTATGTTAAAACAAAATATCGGTCATATTCGAAATATTTGGAACCAGTACTGAGAGATCCACCATCATAAAATAAAGCGAAGATGCAATCTTTCGTGCGATAATATGCAAGTATCGAAGTATGCATATTTTCTGTATTATGAAATTTTATTTTATTTTTATTTTAGTTCCGGAGGGTCACAAAAAAATTCGACCTTGGCAAGTGAGTTGAATCGGGATGAAAAGAGTTTGAAGAGCACTGGTCTATACATTGCTCAGTATTACAATGGCTTAATTTGAACAACAGCTGACTTTCAAGAAGAATAAATTCAAACACTTCTAGTTCCTTTATGTACCAATTGCCATTTGTCCAGAGTATTGTTAAGTCTATACCAACAATCACCTGCAAATTGGGACAACCATAGGATTATCCTTCGTTCCATGATAAAGATTCTTTTCTTTGAGATCTTTTTCAACTTCGCTTCTTGCAATGAATCTCTTCATTCCATCAAACCTTGTATTTGTGTTAGCAATGTCACCAGTATCACTCAGCATAGTTATAAAAGGTAAATCGTGCCTCTGTGTATAAACAAAACAAGAAAAATAGAAAATTATGAACGTTGACCTTTTACCCATTCATCTTATCATTCACCCATTCATCAACACCTTTTAAGAGAGTATAATATTATAGCCTATTGAGTTGTTAGCATAAGGACCCAATATATTGCTATCACAGGTTAGGCTTACCACGTTTTGTTTCGGGACAATCCCGAAGTAAACGCATGCACCTCACTAATTAGGCATCACAAATTGGGCAGGTAACAAAAGTAAATAGTTTTAAAAGTTATGTGGGAATAGGGATGAATACGGTACATGATTCTACTTTACAATATCTGGCGATATGAAGCAGTAGATCTCCCGAGCTAGTAGAACGTTAAAAACATTTATATTAAGTCAATATATAGTTCACAAAGAAGACCACAAGGCCTCTGAAGATATCAAAATGACTACTTGGGAATCTAATGTGAATTTTAGAACAATGAGGTCTTTAGATCTACAATGTGTAGAAAAACAACAATTTCCAGTTCTATTATTTTCCAGTATTATTTTTTGAAATTATCTGGAAAACCGATTCAATTAGTTACAAAATGGAGGCATTTCAGAGCATGGGTGAAAAACCACGGCCCATGGGCTGGATCCGGCCCATGGGCTGGATCCGCCCCATCTGCTGAAATTCGAGTTTCGATCCCCCGGCTCAGTAATCAAGTCTATTACCTGCAACTAACCCACTCAGAAAAGTAACTGCCCGCCCCTGTTTTACAGTAACAAGATTGTGTAAAGATCTTTCTTACCTTTCCACAATCATAATCATTTGGATCATGAGCAGGAGTTATCTTTACTGCACCAGTCCCAAATTCTCTGTCGACCATTTCATCGCAGATAACAGGGATTTTTCGATCACAGAATGGATGTTGTACAAACTTCCCGTGCAAATGCTGAAAAAAATGAATAAATCTGAAATTAGTGGAATTTGGAATATCTTCTCATTTGACAACTAAATTGCAAAGGGAATCAATCTTTGTAAAATTTGTTATATTGATATAAATCCAGGATTTCAATCAAAATTTATGATGAAACTTTCATTTTATCGAATAATGAAAGCTGTGTAAGCATATTGTATACATTGTGAGAGATTAAGACATAAACCAAAAAAGTGAATGCAGACAAAATAGGTCCGATATAAAGATATCAGACCAACAAATCTTTCCTTTATTAAAAATGAAAATTAGTTGATATACAATCATGGGCCATACCTATAAAATGGTAATTAGACCATAAACTGAAAAAGCGTGAAAAAACTGAAAACTAAATCAATTTGATATTATGCTGAATTTCGATATGTGGTTTCTTTTTCAGTTTATAATTGAATATGAGTATAATCTACTTAGAACCTTGCTTGAAGTGAGAATTCGAAACAATACAATAACTTTTTTAAAATCCCATTACGTGATCAACTTTTATCACTGCATTTTAATATTATTTTTTGTTCCATTCCGTAAGAAATTAGATGATTATGTTCAGCTATCACCTTATATCTCTCATCTTCCGGATGAACTGCAACTGCTGTATCACCGAGCATGGTTTCCAATCTTGTTGTTGCGACAATGATCTCTTCACCTGGTTTTCCATTTATTACTGGATATGCAAATGAAACAAGAACACCGAATTCTATTTTCTTGTCATAACCCGGTACATTGAGAAGTGTCCTTCCTGGTAAATCTCTTTTGTCAACCTAAAAAATTTGAATTTCAATTCAGCGTGAAAAAGATAGAAATTGGAATGTTGAATTTGTCAAAAATATGTTATAATAATTCAAAATTTAGATAGTCATTTTAGGATATGGCATCATTTGCTCTACTTTATACAACAAGAAATTAATATGATGAAACGGAATTCACGGAAATGAGAAACCATAATTGGTCAGAATTGGCGCAAAAATATTCCTGGAATTCTAAAGGTTCGCATACTATATTAATCTTAATAGTATCGGCATATTAAACTTGGTATTTAAACCTATTGAATCTGAATTAAATAAAGATCTAGCCTTAATCTTTGTTAAAATTACCAATCTTGAACAACAAATGCTCATAAAAATTTTACGACCGGGACGCCTAGTAAAGCACACAAACCTCAATATCAGATATAGCAGATTTCAAAGCACATGACCAGTTGATAAGCCTGTTGCTTCGGAAAATAACTCCTTCATCGTGCAATCGCACAAAAACTTCTTTTACAGCTCTCGATAGTTTGTCATCCATTGTGAAAAATTCCCGATCCCAATCCAATGATGATCCAAGACTGCGCAGTTGCTCATAAATACTATTTCCTTTTCTAGAGAGCAAATAAAAACATTAATGGGTCAATTTTGAAACGCTTCGCCATTGAGTTTAAAACAGCTCTGGGGTCTTGGAGAATTTACATCAACGCTGGTTTCAGGTTGACGAAAATTTTGACTTCAACTAAAAGTAGAGAAAATTTTGTACTTCCTTATTTCTGTCACGAATTATGACTTTCATTAACTAGCAATACATATCCAGACAATCCAGTTATCCACGATAACAACTCCCGGAATTCAATTTTTGGTTCAATATCAATAAAAAGATACAAAATCTGACTCAGAGGCTTAGGCCCTCCCTGGTTTGAAAGAACGAAATTCTCAAGGTTCATTTACCTTGGCTTGAACAAAATTTTTTGACAGAAGATTTAAAAATATTCAGGCCAACATGTATGCAGTCATGATGCCCTGTTGGCAGTGTTAACTCTAAGCAAATTATGAGAGCGAAAGTGCTTCGCAGTCCAAAAAAAAAGTGCGAAAGTGCTTTTGCATATTTTAACAAGTTAGGTGCCCTAGCCTTTAATATAACCCATTTAAAACGGCATAGATACTCGAAAAAGCGCTCCTCCGGTTAATATTATGAATTAAAGAGAAGCCTTCTCGTTAACGAGTTCCCTTTAAGCTAATTCATGTTTAATTAAAACAAGCCAATTCATCGGCAACGAAATGACATCTGCTAACACCTGCCGGGGACAAAACTTTCATGCAATGTATCACGGTGTCAGTTGCTTATTCGCGTAAACAGCAAAGACTTTCACATTTGTTACTCCTTCCATCTAACAGACACCAGACCGACTGGAAACCATATTAGTTACAGGGTGGATCGTTTGTACAAATCCGGTGCAAAATAATCCCCCCCCCCCAAATATAAATAGCAATCAACTAATTAGGGTTAGATGCGCTGGAAATTCAACTTTTCGATTCATCCCTAAACCTAATCTGATAATTATTAATTTGTGATTTTGAACCACTTTGAAAGTCGCCACCCGCTGTTTTAAAAGATAGGTTAATCTACGTTCCCTCCGAAATATTATGCAGGATACTCCCCTGTTTTAGGAGATAGGTTGACCTACTTTCTTTTCAAACTTTTTCTCCGAAATATTACACAAGATCACTTTAAAAATCCTCCCGTTTCGTGAGCTAGCGTGACCTAATTTCTCATTTACATTTATATTATACTATTTCAGAGCTTACCCAAAGACAAGTAATTTTTAAATGTCCACGTGCCTTGGTTTGCGTGCGAGTTAGTTTAAATCGGGCAGAAAACATCATATATTGGCAAAATGTTTAGTAATGTCATGTACTTTCAGCATTCATAAATAGCACTCTTTGTAATGTTGCTGACCTAGTATCAAATATTCGCATCACAACGCCACTTGCGAGGTTTCCATATATTTCAATTACACTAATAGGAACGATGACATCAAAGAGTTTTCTTTTGCGAAGGTACACTAAATATAACGAGGGTGATTCTTGTGAAAAACATGAATATAAAAAATAAAGAATGATAGGATAATGGATCCCAAATAATTTTGAGAGTGTCTCGAAATACCAATCCATTTGATAAATAATTTTTATTCGACCACATGAACGCTGATATTCTGAAAATTAATGTTGAAAGAGAATTACGCATTCTCAGATATCGGACATCCAGTCGCGATATTCAATCGTTCATATGCACAAATCTCACATTATTAGTAATTGCTACCCAAGTTTGTAAAGTTTAGAAACCAACAAGCAGAAAATAACTAACCTAAAACACAATTAAAATTCAGTCGGCAATAAATTCGTCGCCAAGACGATGCCATACAAAACAAAAAAGATTTGATCGCGAGAGTTACGTGAGATGACTGCCCTGCCGTTGTTTTTTAAGCAGAATGTAAAAAAATTTATAATTAATAAACGGGAGTTACGACGCCCTTTACACATCGTGTGTATTAAACTTCCCTGGTAGGTACTTTGGTAAGTACTATTATTATTGTACCTATACACCTGTTGGAGTATTTCGGACAATTTCGAATTTAAAATAGATGAAAACCAGACATATAATAAAGACGCAAAAGTAAAATGAACATTTATTGAAAAAGTTATTATTTAAGAAAGACAACATGATCGTACAATTCCGCCAAAACCTCGATGTTCGCAAGTGAGATGATAAATAAATACTTCCCTGTATTCGATCAATTAACTTTAGCGTATCGTTGTTCTGCCAATAAACAGCCGGGTGCAAAATATTTCCGTCCTGTGATATGCTCACAAATATTCTCGATATTAATATCATACCCTCGCGTATGTACTTTCTATTAGCTCTTTAGTGATCCCTTCCATCCTTGGCCAAGTCATGTTTCGAATATGTGAACATTTTATTCGACCATACATGGCCGGCGGGATGTTAAAATTGTAAACAAGAGAGAGGTAAAATTAATCGCGAATTTCGTTATAACGGCTCGTTTACGAATTGTTGCGCCTGTTATCGTCGAAAATGATTACATTTGTTGTATTTTGAGGCATTTAAGCAGTAATAATTAGGGCATGACATCATCAAAATCGTCAAGTGAGATCTTGAAATTGCAAATTCCGTAAATAAAATTGCGAATTATTCGGTAACGAATTCAGCTTTAATGACCGTCGGGGTATTGTTTTGTTGAAAATTATTATTAATGTGAGAGCGCCAAAAACATACAGTCCATACCGATGCGACTGCAATTTATATGGTCGCAATTGGTGTGGCGCGTTTATTAATAGTGTAAAATAAATTAAACGAATATCAATTATAACCAAGCCTGTCAGCGTGTTTATTTTCTGTGGGCAGGAATCGTAAAATACCATCTTGAGACAAATTAACTTCTATTATGAAATCTTAATTTTCAGTTATTATCGTTATACAAATAACGTGTGGCAACTTTTTAATTTATCGTCGACCAAAAAACCGCCCCACACTCGTCCAAACGTGTGTCGAGCTTGAACGACAGGAACAGATTCATCGACGACCTTAATTAGGGAAAATATGTATTTTATTGGGAATGCAAAATAAATGTAACAAAACGCATTTTTTGTGATATAACTTTGTATTTTCGGAAACGGGTTGCCGTGAAAGGTAAAATTTGATCTAAATTAATTGAAAAAATGTTTTATTTTAAATGTAACAAAACACATTTTGCGATATAACCTTGTATTTTCGAAAACGGGTGTCCTGAAAAGTAAAATATGATCTAAATTAATCGCAAAAATGTTTTATTTTAAATGTAACAAAACACATTTTCGCGATATAACCTTGTATTTTCGGAAACGGGTGTCGTGAAAAGCAAAATATGATCTAAATTAATCGCAAAAATGTTTTATTTTAAATGTAACAAAACACATTTTTCGAGATACAACTGTATTTTCGGATACCGGGTGTCATGGAGAGTAGAATGTGATCTGAATTCACCGTAAATAATGTTTCATTCCAAATGTATCATAACGCATTTTTTTGTGATATAACTTTGTATTTTCGAAAACGGGGCCTCACGAAAATTATTAATTAAATGTTTTATCTATCGTCTAACTAACGTCTGGAACACATCATTTTCGGGGTGAACTCTAGCCCGCGAAACGTCATTTAATTTAAAATAGAGAATGTTTCACGCATTTCAAAACGGAAAATCACCAGTAAGTGGACAGGGATTCAACCCTCCGGATTCAGTATTCTATATCCCCCGTGTCAGAACTTTCTGAAGAATGGAACAAAGAACCCGTCAAACCGCCACGGAAGAAGGAGAGTATTTTTTGCACTAATAATTAGGGCGTGACAATATCAAAATCGTCAAGAAACTGGTGAATTTGCAAATTCCATAAATAAAATTGTGAATTGCTCGGTAACATTTTAGCTATAATTATCGCCGGGGTATTGTTTTGTTGAAAACACGTTGAAACTTGAGGGAATTAGTTACAATTTGGCCTCTATTAGACACTCCAGCACTCGAAAAAAAAAGCACTCGAGCCCAATCTTTTTAGCATTAAGTCGCATACGTAAAATATCCTGTAAAAGAAGTGCTGTTCATTAACGTCATCTCGTCTTATGACCACGCAGAAATGCCTTTATAGCCGAATTATTCAATCACTATTTCAAATCAACATTCAGGATTGGCACAATTTCAGATTTGCGAAGTTTATCACCATAGAAATACATGAGAAAGTTAATTATCGTCTTACTCTTAATAAATATCTGCATCACGGTATGGACAATAATATTACCATTCGCATAAAATTGGGACGGTAAATTTACAAATCTTGATAGGTAATATTAAAGCCAGCGCAAATGTTAATTTGAGTCCTCAATGTCTTCAACAGCTGTTGCCGATGTGAATGAACGGGTAAACCCGAAATATAAAACTTCGATGTCCGACGACCCACAAGAATTCATATTTGTAAAAAAGAGAGGGCGGGAATATAGATTACCCAAAACCTGGATATCGCCGCCAAAACGATCGGTGACGAGAACAATTAGCGATTACAACGGAATTAACCAGTAAAAAGGCTTTGTTGCCGATTTTTTAATGTTTCCGCCACGTTTATTCGATACTCCTTAAAAATATTCGATTTAAAAATATATCGAATTATGCCCACCCCTCCTCGCATATCAATGAGAAATAGTTGTGTAAATATCGCAAAATTACGGAAAATGCCACCTCCTTTCAACATTGTGATTACAATAAAATGGCACTTAATGTGAATTTGTTGATTTTGCAAATCTGTGACATGCTGCTAAAAGTTTCGTCTGATTTGAAAATCGTGCAGTTTGGTCACAATTCATCCAAAGCGACTATAACACCTTACTAACACTTTTTATAGTCATTTTGAATTCATCGATATCATTGATAGTCACATGACCACTCTCGTTCAAAGAAACGCCCCGGGAGCGTTTTTTTGCGGGAGAAGCGGAATCCCTGTGCTTGTATAATAGTCATATTATAAACAAGAATTTTGCCGTTAATGCAAAAGCTTTATCTCCTATGTCTGCATCTCATAGGTTAGAATTCCGGTAAATATCGTTATGATATGCAGAATTGAGTTACAAAAGTACCAGTATGTTACTTATTTGTCAACTTAATACTCGAAAATATTTGTTAACTTTGAATTTTTATTCCATTCAAAATCGGAAAAAAGTGCTATTTCTCTTCAAAATCGGAAAAAAGTGCTATTTCGCAGTCCCTAAAAAAAGTTGCGAAAGTGCTTCGCAATTTTCGCAAAAAAGTGCGCTAATAGTGTTGGCATCCTCTGCTAATTAGTAGGGATGCGACAAGATTCGGATTCGTGCTCGGATTTGTGGCCGAATCTCTCGTAATTTGATACTCGGATTCGGCCCGAGTCTTTGATGATTTTACCCGAGTCCGGGATATCATACGTCACGCGATAGTCAAGCGCAGACTGGTGGCGGATTCGACGAGAAATTCTATTTTCTCTATGGTGAAATTAAAACTAGGCGCCAAAACTACAAATTCACGAGGCCGTAAGAACAAAATAATGTCAGCGAAAGTCAGCTGAATAAATTCCAGTGTTGCGCGTGTAGCTTGTCTTCCAGTGCCAGACGTCGTTTAGTGAATGTTTACCACGTCCTATTTCAAGCATATACTTGCTAATCCTCTAACAGTGATTAATCCGTAATCAGCGGTAACCATGTCGCGCTGTTCGCCTTTTATCGTTTCATAAATGATCTAGCTATTTCCGGAGAGAAACAAATGTTAGAAATAAAATAGTGAAAATTACGGTTCTTTTAAGAGAAAAGTACAACTCGCAGATGTCAGTGGCGTTACAATCGTATATATGTACAAAAACAATCTCGCAAGTCGCATCGATTAAATGTGCATAAATTTGAAAACTATTACTCGTGGTAATTGGATGTTAATCGGGCCGACTTCTTATTTTTATTCAATGATTATTTACATACGCCGCGATTAGTGACGAGCAAAATCGAATTTTTCCTGATCGAATAATTCGACTACCGTATTTCTTTTAATTTACCGATAGTAGAAAATTACTAGAAGACTGGAGACTCGATAACAACGCGGCGTCTTTACTTCTTATCCGTAATTTTATCACAATCGTGAATTGTTTTTTTGTCACCGCGATCGTTTCGGCGACCGACATCCTAATTATGGTTGGTAAACTATATTTTTAAAGCACCCTTTTTCACTATCAGTTCCCACGCAACGCCGGACATCGAAGTTTCGTTTTTATATTTCAGGCAGAAGTGTGAGTACAAATCGGCGAAGATATTAAAGACAGCTATTAATTAGTGAATTCATAAACATATTAATTTTATTCTGGTCTTATCTTCTGGATTTGATCTTCCATATCACAGTTTGTAAATTACGGTCCCTATTTTAAGCGAACAATACCTATCGTGGCTGTGTTATTTTAATATTAGATAATAAATAAAAACTCCGGAAATTTACCATTGCGTGCTGTTTCGAGTTATGGCATTTCTACCTAGTCGAAACAATATTTCCATATAATACATAATTTACCTGCCTCACTTAATCTGATTTGACGTTTCTGTATGTGAAAAGGTGTTGGCGCGCTTTATGCAAAATTGGGAATTGTTAAAGATAACGATAGGCGCAGAAAGAAAACCCTAATAATTCTCACATTTATCGTTTCTGTCTGTTAGCGAGAGTCGTATGTGAATTCTTAACTCGTAACTCTCACTTCTAAATTAATGTTAATAAATTTGATTTTGCTTTTTGAAGCGCCGTTATTTGTATTAATGAAAATGGTTGTGTCATACAGCCGTAACTTAGCATATAACACATTTCGCCTTTTGCGTCTCTCTTATTGAATCAAAATCAACAATTACACATTCTTATTTTCCGCGGATTCGACAATAGCTATTGATGGTTTTCAAACGAAGAATAGCTAGCTATTTTGTTACGATATATTTATAAGATAAATTCATTCGATGCTTCCACAGTTGGCAATTCTTTATTAATATCTCAATTTTCACGGAGATGGGCGTCTGTATCAGCGCCGACTAAAAAAGTTACATATGAGTAAAAATTTCCCATAAAAAATTTGTTCCAAACGTGTGGGTTATGGCCCGTATTTATCGTGACAGGGCACGAGCGCGGCGTCTTCAGCAGTCGACGCGGCGGTCGATCAGAGTTACGTAACAAAGTATTCCTTTGACGGGGAATATGACCTATTTATTCTAATTTAAACTAGTCGCTCAGAGAATGATTGTCTCGCAAGTAATAGTGTTTATGTGCAACGTATTTAAATTACATAGTCTTTTCATACAGAATGTTTAATTTACGGCCAATATACGAGAACAACAGCATTACTTTAGGTATTTGTTTCGTAGCTATGTAAAAGTATTGGACTCGGGACTCGGACACGAGTCCAGCACAAATACTCGGGATTCGGCCGAGCCGAACCTTTTTGGATTCGTCGCATCCCTACTAATTAGGTGGAACAATCAGAGTTTTTGCAAAGTTCTTAAAAAAATATCAAAAGATAACTTACTCCTCTTTCCATTTCCAAACTTCTTTCAAAAAAGCTTCTCTTCCGATATCATGACGAGATATATCTCTCTCCCTTTTCAATTTTCGTTCTACAACAACCTAGAAAGATAAAATGATTGAGTTAGTTTGCATAAGGCTGGGTGTAAGAAAATCACTTCATAGATGGCGGCTCGGCGGCGTGCCACATCGTGCTAAGCGTTAGGAATATGCTCGCCACCACACCTTTGATTACCCTGCTCAGGTTCGAATCCCATGCAGGGTTAAATATGTGCGAGAGAATTGCTGAACTCCTCGCCGCTGTACCGTAGTTCACATAATCGCTGGTCTGTTACGCCTTCTTCCACAATCAAGTCCATGCATCTGAAAACAAATATCTGGCCAACTAATCCCATACCCGACATGAACCGGAAACCGGACGAGAGGCTGTGGTTCGCAGTATAATTAAGCTGTCTTATCGGCTTTCCTCTCTCTCAGGATAAAGATGTAAATCCTATTCTATCCTAATCGTTAATACAAGTGCAACTAGAATTACAATATAAATTCAAATAAAAATATAATTCAGCTTATTAATTTTTATTTTTACACAAAGGAGTCAGAATTTTCCATATCTTAGATTTTCAAAATTAAAATAGTATTGAAAGCAGTATTCGGATGCAATCAATAAAACAAATATACATAACAATTCCTACTTCAGTTTAATTACTTCAGATCAAACTTTTACTGAAATGGATTTAAATATAGAAAATGACTCGGTACCTGAGTAGCAATACCAGCATGATCACAACCAGGATTCCAAAGTGTTGTTTCACCTCTCATCCTGTGCCATCTGATAACGAAGAGTTTTTATTAATGTCAGAAAATAATATGAATAAATTTTAATGCAATATTAAATCATATTTTTAAAAGATAAAGTATGAAAATTATTAAATATATATATATATATATAGAATATTACAATAGTTTAGTAGTCGTCTGGCCATGGTGTTCTATGTTTTTTATTTTCAAGTGTTAAACAATCACTAAATGGAGCTACAATAGACAGGGGTACTTGTGTTGTGTGTATGATTCATCAGTCGTAAATAAAGAACATGGAAGTATAGAATTACTGTGTTAACAATAACAACACAAAGAAAATTAAAATTTATTGTTTTCAGCTATGCTATGATTCCATGACGTCCACTTCAGTCTTGTCAAAAGGCGGGAATAAAATTATGCAAATGAGTATGATTTCAATTCTACTTTTATGTTCTAATGCAAGGGTGTGAAACTGCGTCCCGCGAGCCAAATGCGACTCGCAAAAAAAAAATTGAGCGGATCGCAGAGAAGTGCCAATTTTGAATGGTGTTCGGCCTATGTAACGATTTCTTAATTTAGTTTAATCTGGTACGTGCAAGCCATTCCAATCCCTTTGCGTTGTGAAGCCCATGCTTGAGTCCGATTTATTATATATGCGTATGACATTACAATGCTCTTACAACGCATGTCATAAGATTTATAACAAAAATATTTGTGTCAGCATTTTGAGAAAGCCTATGTTAAATAATGGTGCGGCCCCCGGTTTCACCCAGTTATTTGTAACTGGCGCTTCTGTATTAAAGGTTGCACACCCCTTTTCTAATGCATGTATTTCGATTTGCAAATCAAATTGAACGTTTATTTCAAAATATAACTTTCAAATTATCTCAATCGGAAACAAATATTACCTTGTTAAAACATCTTCAACAGTATTGGTGAGAGCATGACCAAGATGTAATTTCCCTGTTACATTGGGTGGAGGAAGACACATCATAAACATTCCCTTCGGATTAGCTTCATACACAGATTTACGCTGGAAAAAAAGAAAATGATGATTAACCTAATCAATCTGAAGTTTTTCAGAGCTTGTGTAATGTTTCAGAATGAACTAGAAGTCCAAAATTTTTCATATTTATTAATATTACAAAAACAAAATTGCTTAGAAAATAGCACACTTTCACATACCAATGACAACAACATTAATGTATTAATTTTGTGCCAGAGTGCCCTGGTAATTGGAAGTTTCACATGAATCATTACGATTAGGCAACCAAGAGTCATCCACTTTGGTAAAACAGTAATATAAGTACGGTATAGAAATGAAGTAATTCGGGATGACCAAATGGAAGATAAAAACTATAAACTACTGCTATATGAAATACTATAAGAAAACAGTAAACACAAAAACATACCGTATCAATAATAGAAAACAAAAAAGTTATTTCCAGTTAAAAAAAAAATGCACTTATTCTTTATCACCAGGTTAAAAAAATCTAAACAAAAAACATGCATACCCCATATTCCGGTTTGAAAAATCCATTCTTTCTCCACCAACCATACCATGCTGCTTCAACATACTTCGGACTATAACTGTCTGGCATGTCTCCTGGAAATTGAGAATGATTACTGATTAGCATAATAAGACTCTCTGATATCATTTACAGGTTATTATTAACAAATTTATCTTCAGCGGGGAAAGTTCTGCTGATTGAACGATTAGAATACAAAAAATATTAATAAAATATCGAAGAGAAAAAACATTTGATGAGACCATGACAAAATTCAACTAACAATGCTTTAGAAAGTCAAGTCAATTCTGTCATACTTTTGTTTCATTTAAACAACTTTGGCAGCTTTAGATTAAAAAAATTCAGCGAATTTGAGAATCAACTCTTTTCAAATGTGAATATTGTAACAAATTTTGGGTCAGTAATTCCAGCCCACTCTCATAAATTTCGAAGTCTAATTTCATATCTCTACTTTGATACCAGCAAAACATAACCAAACTCAAACCGCACTGGTTCATCTATAACTATGTCCTCATCAGTGAAAAAAATTTTCAGCCCTAACTGTGAACCGAACCAAAATGTTTCTTTGAAAATTACGGTACCTGAAATGTCCTTCTTTTCTCCAACTTCTGTGTCTTTTTCATACTTGATGATGGCGGCAGCTTTTTTCTTCTCTGGCTTTTCAGAAGGTTTCTTTTGCTTTATAATTGATAAAACAATTTGATCAATATAACCATTAGTATGTTTGGTGGTATAGGATTTCAAAAATGAAAGTACTGTAATAGAAATCTAGGCAAAAGCATGTTATATGGCTTGATTGTTAATGTTTTTCTACTAATTTTTTTACTTTACTATTTTATTTTTAAAAACAATCTCGTGTTCATTCAGTTATCAAGAGTAGTCTTGAAACTGAATTTATATCATTGGCAGAAAATGTTCAGAGCCAAATTATAAAACCTGCCTATGAATCCTTTTTGAGTAGTACTGTTAGAAATTGTTTCAATTGGCATCATAATATCGATAAAAATAAGATAGGCTTTGGAAAAAAAGATATCAAAATACAGCGAAATTTTAGAATATACACAAATTTGGATATAACTTTTTTTCACTTAAATGTTTAGGTAACTTTTCAATTATCACCTGCTGAGCTTTCTTCTGTTCTTCCATTTTACTCTTCTTTGCATTAAATTTCTCCATTTTCTCTCTCTTTTTCGCTTCCTTTTTTAATTGAGCTGCTGATTTAGGTTTGTCTCCAGCACCAGAGTTCTCATCACCCTGGTTTTTAGAATCTTTTGAATTTGCTCTAAAAGGTTGAAAATAATACATTGGCCATTATGCAAGAATTTAAATTTGCCAATACAAGAAGATAAGATCTGTTATCTTGGTAATAATACCCTTTGTGTTGAAAACCTTAGTACAGCTAACGGATTTATAGAATGAAAATAAAATCTGAGCACCATTTGTTTGTAATGAATATTATGGCATCCTGCAGTACATCAATAATGAAAATTTGTCAGCGGATAGGTAAGCTAAAAAAATTAGATAATTAACATTACTTTTTAGGTTTATCTTTCAATGCCTTAATTTGTTTCTGCATTTCTGCATATTTTTTGCCATCAAAAACTTCTGCTTTTTCACACATTTGAATTTCATTATCTTCTTTGAGGACTTTACGAAATTGTGGTTGGTTTATCACAGTTGTAAACCATCTGGTCATATTCGGATATGGTTCATATGTTTTCTTGTCCAATACCTACATATTAATACCATAAATCTTATAATACAAAATGAGTTAGTGATTCTTGAATTCTGGATTTTAAATTAGGTGTTGCCAAAACCGAGTATTTCTGTAACTAATTTTAGTCAGCTGAGCAAACCATACCACACATGCAGTCTTTATCAATAAACAGGATAACTCTTTAATGTTTATAAACAGATGTTTGATACAAACAAATAGTTTATAACATAATGATGTCTTTATTCTTTAATAAACCAACATTTCCATTATGATGCAAAATGCTACAAATATGGCATCATTATATGTGAAACAATAAGACTTGAGGTAACTAGATCATGATGAATGAGAATCGGGATACCAGAATATTTAATTATAAGGACAACCAATTATGTTAATTTGAAAAGTTGGGAGTGAAATCAATGAAATAAACTAAACATTTTTCTCAACCTTACTGCATGCCTTTGCACCAATAGATCCGTAAACGTATAATGAATAAGTTGGTATAGGAAGTATGAAAGAAGATTTTTTTAAGTGATTTAAAACTACAAAATATTTTCACTACAGTCAGATGAAACTTCAAAGAACTAAATTTGTGTTTGTGCAGCAAACACATTCAATTTCATTATTACCTACGCTTCCAATATTGAACTAAGACTCCAATAATTAAAACCATAATTTAACAGATGAGTAGCAAAACAAAAGTACTTACCAATTGTGAAGGTAGATACAATGCAGCTGCACAAGCAATATCAGCTTGAGTTACTCTGTCACCAGCAAGATATGTCCGAGTTTCCAGATGTGAATTCAAACACTTCAGCGCATTTTCTAGGTCACTTTTTGCTTTCGCGAAATCCTGTACAAATACACAAAACCATAAATATCACATATAATAAAAACAATGCAATTATGACAAAATTTCCTAACTGATACAAGACATAAAAAAATGGGTTCGATATAGTTTAGTATCATTTCTAGTAGGTGTAGTGTAGCTATGATCGCTGAAATAGCAACTGCCGATTTTGGGTGATCGTCTGCCCTTTTTTAGACGACTGTCCACATATTTTGACGGGCCTTATTACATCACTGTGACGCCGTGGTGATGTAACTTCTGGATGACGTAGTGAGATGGGAGTTAAGAATCACATATGCAAAAATTGTTGAGCCACAATCACTAGAAGTACTTGTGGTACGAAATTCTACTAGACATGGAAAAATTATATAAAATATTAGGCAGCACAAGGTGCAAATATATATTTTAAAATGTGACAAACGAAGTAGTACAATGAGAAGACATAATAGGCTTGGACTAGAAACACCGAATTCCCCATAAAAACATCATTAGGACTGGTATATATGAATACGTTTTACCTGTTTATTATAAGATTTGATGCCAAGAATAGGAAATGTCCAGACGCTTCCAGGAATATAAAGTTCTACATCTGCAAATTCAATCCATTGATAAACTGCGGATTTTTCAAACTCATTGTCTCCCCACAAACTTTTTGATGAAACAGATCGACAAATAGCATTGTTTTCTGTGAAGACAATGCTTCCTGACTCATACCTTTGAAACAGAATATTTTTTATACGCCATTGATTACTGGATTATAGCCAAGAATTTAGACAAAATATCTGAATATATATTATAGCATAAACCATTACCTTGGAACTGGTTTTCCTTTAGATTCAGATGATTCAACTTTAATATTCACTTTGCTTTTGCTGAATTCAACTGCAGCAAGTATCTTGGTGCAGAAATAATTTTCAGAATTTTCAGGAAATAATAACGTTCCAGACATCATCAGAATAATAACCAATAAATTATCATTTGCCAATACCTGAACACTGAAAACCAAAGATTCAAATGCTGAATGCAACTTTACCTACTAACGTCTGACCGCACGTACCGGTACCGGTACTGCAGTTCTGTTAGACGACGTTCAGACGTTCGAAACCTCAACTTTCAAAAATTAAGTCTAGGTAGGAACAATAAAATGAAGTAGCCTAGGTGTCGTTATCAAATTTATAGCATATATTCTTTTACCGTGTATTTGAATATGGCATTAGGAAGTAACACAACACATACACACAAATGCATTAGACTACGAATCTACGATTAAAAATTACGTTACAAGTGCAAAATTGTGCTGTACTGTAGATTTCTAATTTTGTGTGACACATGTCACCCATAGAAGGTCAAAGGTGAACCGTTGGGTCGGAACCAACGACTAACATAACGAACGGAAGAATAATTTACTTACGCTTAGCATACATTAATTAACCTATAAGAAAGTTCAAATATTCATTCTAATACACAAGCAAAAAGACGTAGTACGTTATCTAATTTTTTTTCATGTGACTGACGTTTCGTCTTCCGAAATGAACGCCGACACAACTGATATATCAATATACAGTATGCTAGCTAACATTGTACGCAGAAATTATATACCACATTCAAAATTACCTAATATATGCACATTTAGGAATTGCACCATAGTCCCAACTGAATGACGAAATATAGCATAATATTGTTGTCTGGGCAAACCACTTCCCTAAAATTATCCGCTTTCATGATACGTGGTGGTGCAATGCACACAATACCGACTCGACAGCGATAGCTTGTGCACTAGCAGCATTTATCGGGATATTCCCCGGTGTAGAATCCATATTGATTCCCTCGTATGAAATACGACATAGTTTAACTTATCTTATGCTATATGTAAATCCTTTATGTAATACTCGATGGGAGTAACGCAAAGTTCAAATCACCAGTAGTATTTTATTGTGGAAAGTACAAAATCCAGATACAATAAACAAGTCAAATGCAATGATTTTTAGTTGGTAGCAGAGTTAATGAAACCAATAAACGGCAATTGTGTGTTAATTATGCAGCCTTGATTGGCCCTCGTCGACGCCGGGTGGTTCACGCAACTGATGGAAGATTAAGTCCCCATCCGCCCCACCTAAGTCCACGTATCCGGAACAATTAACTGGCTGGCTATTCCAATTCTAGATCAGTGTCGGCTAAGATATGAGAATATTTTGTCTGGCCCGGGGTTAAGTGAGGTTAAAGGTGCTTTCAAAATAACATGAAGCACTTCGCTCAACATCTCTTGTTACGTAATTATTTCAGTTACATCGACTTGACGGTGTTTCTTTCTGTAATAATCTTTACGCTCAAAAGCATTCTTATTCCGAGTGTTATATTATTATCTCGTGTACAGTTGAAATATCCCTTGATTACTCAAATTGCATTTTTCTTTTATCCACTCGTACTATGAATTACTTGTTTGTATATATATATATATATATAACTACATCAATGTCGTGTATTTTCAATGCTTTAGGTTTGAATCGAAGAATTTTAGAGTCTAACTAGAATTTTGTTTGTCTGGTAGTTGTGGAAAAGCTTTAAAAAAATTTTAAATTGCCAAATATAAATTGGATAGAATATTATCAACTTCAATTTGCCTCAGAATTAAAATTATATCAATCGCCCAATTGCAATGGGAATTTTGCTTTAATCAATATCTACAGACATTAAGATAGGCTTTCAAGCAATTGTGATATAATGCTATATATATAAATTTATCCTGTTTCTAAAGACTCTTTTGATATTTATATATGTTTCAAGGTTTTGAAAATTGATTTTTGATCCAAATCAGGAACAGATCTGTTGACTGTGCAAACACTCAAGTGCCTGAATCGTCATGTGATAATTGAATATACATCGATTAAAGAATAAATATCTTAGCATCGACAACATTTTGTATTGTTTGCTTCATCGAATAATGGGCGAGTAGCCAATTACATGAAACCAACATGCCATCATATATGCATATAACATATGCATATATATTATAATGAATAATTAACAGATCTTTCAATGCCGTTAGGGTTACCATATTTGAAAAGGCAAAATTCCGGACAGTGCATGACTATTTTCATGACCTCGTAGTAAAAAATATGCGCATGGTACGAATACCAATGTTCTGTATTAGCAGTGTGCACAGTACGATTGCAGATGCAGTAAAATTCAGGATTCCGGACATTTAGGCATTTTTTAAATTCTTCCCGGACGCAAAATTTAACCCTAAATTACGGACATGTCCGGAATTTTCCGGACGGTATGGCAACCCTAATATACGTACTAAAAAGACTATTTGATAGTTGCTTTCAAATATTCCGTAAACCAGGAAAAAGGTATCAAACAAATCTATATTTGGGGTTGCTAGAACATGTTGTTACTGCAGTACATATATATGCTATAAATATAAATGTACAGAAATTTCAACGGTAGCGCCTTCCTCGTCGGAACCTTCTACCGTATGGCAAAGGCCGAATATTCGGTAAACCCGATGCATTAGGATATCCCTCTATTTCATCTTCCATGTAGTCAGCACCGGGAGCCCACTCGTTGTAGTCGTAATCATCAATACCACCGAAACTGGGCCCTTGGTCAGCGTGTTTGGTAATATCATCATCCCTCTCTTTCCATGCTTTTGAGAAATTCCCTGATATGTGATAAAGTTCCAACAAGTTCAGCATGACCATGATGCAACCGGTTCCGAAAAATACGCAAATGAGAACTGATTTCTCTTTTGGTCTGTAACGAAATTTATTTTTATATCTACTAATCGAACGAAATATTCCAGAAACTGTTTTCGTGGATGATCTGTTTTAAATTCTTTTGAATATAAGCGCAGACGATTGTTAAAACTTAATTCAATTTTATTATGTAATACTATTTGATTAAATATTAACTTGGTTGTGCTTTGCATATTGCTACAAGATAATACATCACTCACCTCCCAACAAAGCAATCAACGACGTTTGGACAAGGCCAATGTTGACACTGCCACAACTCGGGTACCATGAATTTGAAAGTATAAAGATAATACTGGCCAATAGTAAAACCAATTTCAACTATGGTGCGAGACAAGACCTGAGAAATATTTTGCACAAAATAAGAGGATGCGAATTAAAAGACGACATAGCATATTGTACAAAAGCGATGACTTAATAAACGTCATGAAATGGAGAAAGTGTTTGAAATTTTATGTGTAGATGGTATATAAACCAAAATTTTCAGATACTTTCGCTTTATTTTATACTCTAGGAAGTCAAGTTGAAATAATTATCATGTTTACGTCTCGATGACATTGTAGAGTTAATTAGAGCATCGTCATACACTTTTCAGAATATTCCCTGGATTTTAACTAAATATGAATTTGTTGTCAAGTTTTATAGTCGTGTCCCGTTCAAAATAGAGGCATGTAATGAATAGAGTGTCTTATTATAAGACTTCACATTGCTTAATGAAGAAAGTCATCTTACCACGAAGAAGTAAGCAAGAAACAATTTTGATGGTGCATTTACGGAGAGTTTTGTCGCGACGATTTCTTCATCCTTGTCGTCATCATCATCGTCGTCGTCTTCGATATTTAGGTTGTTTTCTCTTGCTAAATTTGGAAATAATATGTCAAACGAACAATAATCAGATGGAATCATATCGCGAATGCGAAATGTTCAAAATACTGTTCTGCAGTGAGATAAGAAAAGGAAGGTCTAAAGTAAACCTACAATTCTATTCAGTTTAAACATTATTATTCAATATTATCTTCCGAGAAGTAAAACGATGATGAAAATCATCATTTATTATTATTTTAGTTTCCATCCTCCGTACAAAACTTTTTTCTGCTATAGACATTTTTATTTGCCAACCTTCTATTCCTTCCGCAATTCTTTTCTTTTTCTAAAAAATAATATTCCATTAATATATTAGAAAATGGTTCACATATAAGTACCAAGTAAAACTAATAGAAGGCTGTTGATCCTAGGGTTTTGTGAATTCACTAATTAATAGAAATGTGTATATAATAACCAAGTATCATACTATGCTGCTATATTGTCGCATTTAAATCGAACTTAGATACTTATTAGGGCGATGTTTTAAAAGTGCTGGTATCCCAATTTAAAAATCTCTTGTTTAATTCCCATACCTACCACCTCACCCATGGAGTTTTGTAGGCTATCCCAAACCGTGTTGATGAATTGAATGGGAAAAAATGTTGTTTCTTTTTTTTGCATTTTTTAGGCCTCAACTTAATGTAAACTAAGATGTGGTAATACATTCGTATTTTTGAGAACACGTTGACAATTAGTAGCTTTAAGTTCGTTCATATTAATGTTAATTGAAATATTATCAATACCAAATACTGCAAATCATACCAATTTTTTTAAAGCCGAGGCCTTTGCTTTTCTAGCTTTTATGACTTTTTGAAGATGATCCAATTTATGAGCTGTGTAGACAATGAAGATCATTGAAGGAAGAGTGGTGAAAAGTATCTGCAGCATCCAGTAACGACTCTACAAAGTACAAGAGTTGGAACTTCTTTTAGATTGAAAGTTGAAAATGTTTTAAATCATCTTCAATTTTTAATAAATTTGACATCATCAAATCTTTGTCAAGATTGTGTTCTTTCGGATCAGAACTTCATATTATCATATATTATTCTGATTCGTGATTGAACAACGATGTTCAAAACAACTTTTATCTATATCCATCGTAATTATGTTATTACAAACACTATACATACCACAACAACGGGACTGAATTCGTTGTAGCAGACATTAAGACAACCAGGAGACAAAGTGTTGCAAACAAAGTCATCTTGACCATCTTTCCATACATCATCTGAAAAATAAAACAGAATATATTACAATGTGTATGAGTTCTTAACCATATATCACTGATATTTTATTCAAACATCAAGTCCTCAGACAATAAAAATATTCTTAGAACAATAGTCTACATTCTATTCCAATCCATGTTATTTCTTCATTATTTAATCCTGTTAAAATGTATGCTACTTATTGATTCATTTTGTGTTTGTCTGCGTTACAATGGTAAAAACAAATTATTGGCCTCAATTTCAGTTGAAATTACCTTATAGCCTAAACAATTTCTAGTTATAGCAAGTATGAAAATGGGAACAACCTTTTTTTATTTGGTATTTGATATATTTACTTAGCAGAGTGAAAACATATTAACGTTCATGTTTAAAGTAGTTTTCGACACGACCAAGCAAATTTATTTTTCCTTTTTCCACAAGAGTCCATTAATAAATGATATCTCCCATAGTAAACAGTGTTGGACCATTAAGGCATGGATTGAAATCCGAGTAAATAAACGAAGTCTTAAGAAGAATGTTCTTAATTATGTGTAGCATTTCCGTATGTGTAATCTAATAATCCCAAATTTACTGCAATAGTTGTTTTTACAGCACAGCAAAAGTAAGAATATATTTATCTCATTAAGATCGAATTAACTTCTAAACAATTTCGTTTAGGGAAAAATTGCAATTCTGTGTTGGTCATGGTATTGCATATTTTCAATTATTGTGATCACTTTACTCAAAGAATTTTCTCGGTACAACTATATATATACTGTGAGCTACACTCTATACGGTGTGACTTCTACATCAATTTTGCACAGAATATAAAATTGGTATGATTTACCTGCTATTGCAGTTGCTATAAGCAACCTCAAAATGAAGACTGACGTCACCCAAAATTTTCCAATTAGTGTTGAATGTTCTCCACTCTGTTCAATCAATTTTTCCATCAAATGCCAACCCATGATTGTAATTTAGGTTTATTCTAAAATGCTACAAACTACGAGACAGAAACATTAAAGTATTGACCATCATATTGTAGGTATTGTAGTAGTTATAAAAACCTATTACCAATTACTTAATTCAGTTTCAAATACAAATTTCAATATCTGATAACCTATTGCGCAAACCGTTCTATTGCATTACATTTCCAACTGACATCAGATTCTTTTTTGATTGAAGAGTAAAGCAAGCGCAATCCTTCAATTTAGCGAATGCGTTTGAACGCAAAACTGTTATGAAAATGACCAGTGTTATTTGTGGCCAAATTATATCTTTAGATAAAGTACTGTAGATCATTTACTAAATACCATATAACATGAGTGGCCATTTATGTGGCAACAGTTTGGAACCTCATGATAAAATAAACATTCGCGGTCAATATTTGCGATTCGACCAAGTGCTCAACAAACCCACTCGTCGTTGTTGAATGTTTTGGTTATGTAGATATTGTTGGTACTATTTGAGTTACATAAGTATTCAATGGACGCAAAAGATATGACAATTTAATACCATAATTTATGCCCGTTAATGTAACACTAAACACAATAATGTTAATGACGAATGAAAATATGCGTTTGAATATGCGGTGTGACTTCTACATTAATTTTCACAGAATATAAAATTGGTATGATTTACCTGTGCCAGTATTTACTGCGGTATATATTTGTATATATATATAATTAATACCAAATACATTATTGCTATTTCAAGGATTCCAGTTTTTTATGTATTTTGATTTGTGTAGTTCTCTCAAGGTTTTTATTTTCTCTTCCAATTTCAACTGCTATCAAAGTAGTTCTCAAGTCGTGTGGTTTAATATAACATGATTCACCTTAGCGACATGGTGATAAAACCTAAAATTTAGATTTTAGACCAATTAAAGAAGTTGGTTTGTTTATAAGTATATCTCTTTTGCCAAAATTTTGCTTTGATTGTCAGTATCGACATTCCGACCACAATAAGTAAATCCTTGTATTAAGGACTTAGATTAAATTCTACAAAATATAAATAATATATATAAATACATATATTTATTCAAATACCCCCAACAATATGTATAAGCCATCTTTCGCATAGTTTTAGTACATTAATGTCTGATTATGTTTTCCATTGACATTCAAAATAGCACTCGTATTTAACTATATGTCACATCGACATGAGTTGTTCGCTTTAAATCCATCTTAATGTATTTATGTACAGTATGTTAGTGTTAAAACGTTTTTAGTTCGATACCTAACTGTAGATACCTAGACTGTAAACAAATATACAGCAATTATTTCGCCAATTGTCAAGACTATTTACATTAACAGACAACCTATATTTACTCCTCCTTTCTCTACTAGAAAACACAAGCAGTATTTTCTGCGCACTTAGATTTAACAATATAAATTAGCCCCCTTATCTTAAATTCTCATCACTCCACTTTATCTAATAAAAACAAATCTACAAAGTACGCTTTGAATTATAAAAAAAATCTGTTAATCACTATTCATTATTTTCCCAATCACTAAACAACAAATATATATAACACGAAATAACTCAAAACGTTAACATGCTTACTTCTTAAGCTTATTACTTGCTCATTTCTTCACCCCGAATTACGATTATACGCCTGAATTACTATAAAGTTTTAAGCCTTGCGGAGCTCAACACCAGATCTATAAATTTTGAAAATGATTGTAAAAAGCAAACATTGAACAGTCTGGCGTATAAGTTAATATGTGAATGAAATAATAAAACTGTTTGCTTTTTCGGGCGTTTCACGATATCGTTACGTTACGAAATGTTGATCAAGTGACACAGAATGTAAAATAAAATACGAATCCCATTCTCCTCTATAACGATATCTAAAGTGTTCTGTTTCAGATATGTTATTCACAAATAATTACTCCTGAGTTATTTGGTTAAGCTTTGTGTAGAATGTAAAGAACTTTTTGGAATCGAATAAATTCACAAACTACATACAACATCAAACCAATTTTATGACTTTATTTTTGATTGAAGCAAGGTCTGAGCTTCCACTAAATCAGTTTGCTTCAGAGGAAAGGCTCAGTGGCCATGCACCCTTTCCTCATAGCTACGATTATATTGCAAAGATATATATACAGATACGAGCCTAAAATTACTGCCGATATCAACATGTCCCACATTATTTGAATTGTCGACGGTATAATACTAGTGTTATTTTAACCGGACTGTTATCTCGAATATGTTATTTATCTGTAATTTATTCATTGTATTGAGGAATAGTATATTTCTGTGAGTATTTGGAGAAAAACCTTCTTGATGATGAAAATATTTTTTTCACCGCTTCCTCACTTAGTTTTTGTTTGTTGATTTCACTGTCAAAATACTTTCTAGATCTTTGGCCGCGATGGCGCCCGCAAGCCACAACAATTGCACACTGATGTTCCAGACCAACAGTTTTTGGTGGATAAGCCTTTGCTTCTGCTAAAGAGCACCTTATCGGTTACAGAAGGGATTGGTATCCACAAATTAAAGATGAGGTTACTTGTCTTGATGTTGCTGTCATAGTAAGCAGTGATGTCAAAGCTACGAGTATATATCAGGATTTGTATGCTGGTAGGTCAACAGCCATGGGTAGTTAAGTCTGCAGATTAAACAGGTAAAATTCTGCCAAAAACATCTTTGTGGTTTTAGCAGAGTCTTGTAATCGTATTAGATTGACGAAGTGGTAGACAATTCTCCAATCTCTAAACATCGATGTGATTTTTTTCGCCTGGTTCGTCAAATTTGGATAGAGATTTCCTTCAAGAAGATACTTTTTATAATAATCAAGCAGTGATAAAACTCTCGAATAGAATATGAATTCTATTTCCTCATCGCATCTCAAGGAGCTCCATTTGAATATTTTCAGCGCCATTGAACTCAGCAACAACTTTTCTGTGTGTTGCCATTTTTCTAATTATGATTAAATTGTAGGCTTGTTAAACGAGTAGCTGCTTACAATAAATTCTGTTACGTAAGGAAAATAATCTACTCTTCCATAGTAGATTATAAAATTAATTCATCGTCAAAACCGCCGCCGTTTTGTCGCTATAATTCAATGGAGCGTCACGGGCCGGATTGGTAGCCGACTCCTGTCCTAAACACTAAATACGCATGGCAAAGGGCTACAGCTTAATGTGTAACTTCTGCTGTCCAAATTGCTTTCTGATTGAGCGAATTAGATAAGTATCTGACTCCAAAAACAGAATATATAGTAGGTTACGTGTTCAAATTGAGATATCTGTTAATTTTATATAACAGTAAGGATCTGACCAATTTGCCTGTAAAGATTTTTATTTCCACGGATAATATATCACAATAAATTTACTTACAATAAAACACACTCACAATCGTGAAAACCAAGTCGGTGATGAATTAGCATTGTTGTATCGAACGAATTGAAAAAGAAAAGCCGTGTCAAGTCAATCGTGAAAACCAAGTCGGTGATGAATTAGCATTGTTGTATCGAACGAATTGAAAAGAAAAGCCGATAAAACACACTCACAATCGTGAAAACCAAGTCGGTGATGAATTAGCATTGTTGTATCGAACGAATTGAAAAGAAAAGCCGATAAAACACACTCACAATCGTGAAAACCAAGTCGGTGATGAATTAGCATTGTTGTATAGAACGAATTGAAATAGAAAAAGCCGTGAAAACCACGATCAAATGTCTATTTAAACGGTAACATCTTTTTCATCTCGCTCGCTAAAAACGGTACCTTTCTTTATTATCCAAAAATCTCGTTTCCCACGGAGCAATTTTTGCTCATATCTAGAATGTTCGGTACCCTTCTTACAATAATTACACTTGTTTATAGGTTACCTGACATGGGAAATATCCATTTTCTCATACACGAGAAAGATCTAGACTCAATATTTCGAATGATCTAGAAAGATCTCTTCAATATTTCGGTTGTTTATGGGTCACCCGACATGGGAAAATATCCATTTTCTCATACACGAGAAAGACTAGAAAGATCTCTTCAATATTTCGATTACGTCAATTATTATATAGAATTTGACTTCTATTATCCAAATTATTGGTTAATTTGTTACACATTCCTGGCACCACAAGTGAAATATTTTAAAAGCACATATTAAAAATTAACCGATAATTGTAGAAATATAAGAATGAAATCGAAATTATCATGACAGTAATCAAATCTCGTAACTTTTGAAGATGGCAATTTGAAATGTCAAAGTAATTTGTTTGAAAACTGTCGGATGAAGAGCAAAACATCCACTACGAAGAGCAAGAAAAAATGGTCGAGTGTAATTAATCAATAAGACATAAGACTCAGAAACGACAAGACAAATTCCTTAATTTTGGTTATTTAAAATGGCAATTGAAAGATTTATATACAAGAAGAAAAACATGAAATTTGAGCACTAATTATACATGCAAGAATTAAAAACATACAACTTAAGAACTCATTGTAGCCCCATTTATTATGATTCTGACTTGGGGTCTTTTTAAATTATACGGATGAGACATTTGTATTGTGAAAGGCATTTGAATTGTGCAATTCAGTGAAACAGTAATGGTATTATTATACCTTCTTCTCACCTACACGACTTTCAAAATTGTGAGCACTTGTTTAATGTACGATTTACTATTAGATAAATTAGGCGATAATGACTTTAAAAAATGAAGAAAAGATGGTTTATTGATTCCCAAAAACAAAAAAAATCTTACAATATGACTGTATTGTAGGTCTTTACGTTATCAGTGTTAAACCTTATTAAACATAAGGCTTTTTGGTAGGTCGTTACGTTTCAGTGATTGCAACTAGTATTGTTACTACTCATTCTACATTTAATTGTCTGTACCATTTGCAATAAAAATGGGGGGGGGGGGAGATTTAGATGTAAAACACAATAATTTGTCATGAAATTTGAAAAATACAACAAATAGACGAGCGTTGTAAAACCAATAAAAGAATGCAACAATAAAATTAATTTTGAGACATCGGTACCGTGATATTTCCTATTAATCTCATACATTCAATAAACTGCAGAAAGAATTAAGATAACTTTTGTGAAAACTTTGTGCACTTTATTTGGAGATAAAACTTGGTGGAGAATTAGTACTGCAATATTTTCTTGATTACGTATGACACAGTAAACCAACGAAAAAATAAATCGAAAAACTGGCGAAAAATAGACGTTGAATTGACGAAAAATTGCCACTCCATTTGGTGGAAATTGGGCACTTGAATATTTTCTTGGTGTTTAGATCAAATCATAAGCCTAGTTGGCTGCTCGACTGAGCTTCTTTCTCTGTTACGTGTCAATGTTTGCGCGTTACCAGCTTGACTTTTTCATCTGAAAAAGATCCTTTAGACCCCATTTGGTCATCCTCATGGGTGCCTCTGGGCGCATTGTTACAATTTTTGACCTAGTTGGTCTGTATTTACCCATGTCGGGTTGAAATAGCGCATTGTTGCAATTTTGCGACCTAGTTGGTCTATATTTGCCCCATGTCGAGCTGAAATAGCGCATTGATGCAATTTTGCAACCTAGTTGGTCTATATTTGCCCCATGTCGGGTTGAAGTAGCGCATTTTTTTTTGTTTTGTTATGCCAGCCTTAGGTTTTTTCGGAGAACGTTTAACGTTTTTCGTCTAATTTTAGTTAAGTCGAGCGTGGATCTCATTTAATCACTGAATTTACTTTCAAGGGTATTTTAATAATAACAAAACTATCCAATCAAAAAGGGGTTGTTAATTCCCGCCAAGCTTTCAGTTATTATAAATCTCTCGAAAGTCATTTAAAGTTTAAACATTCAAATTCTTCTACCATTAAAACATCATAAATATACAAAT